ACGTTTTTATTGGAAAATATGCAAATTTGCTTTTTGTTAACATTAAATTAGACTGTGAGAGAGCTGCATGCGGCTCCTGAGCTGCAGTTTGGCCCCCGCTTCCCCAAAGACAAAAGGAGTGGGGGGAAAATTGCGACGTCCAAAGTTATATTAGGGGTTTGATCTGAGAGTAGGAAGGGGACCACCCTGCTTGGATTAGGGTTCTAGAAATTCACCAACCACAGTAGAATAAAACAACTTCTTATGTTATAATATAGAGGACACTCCAATAAACTATGAGAAACTGGATCTATTTTAGCAAGGGAGCAGGAACAAATTCTGTCAGAGTAGAGAAGATGCAGAAAGCGGCCTCTCATAACCCCCGCTGAATGGGGATTCCTTCTAGCAAGAATAAAAGCCCTAAGAAGACCAGGCGAGGTCAGATGGTAAGCACAGGAGGAAAAAGAACCAGGGGGAAGTATTCCAGAATATTGTGATGAACAAACTTGTCAAGCAAGAAGACTAGAACGATTACAATCAGTCTGCCTAATCTGTTTTTTTAGGTGTAATTGCCAATTCAGCGAAACCCCAGTTCCTTGACCGATTGTGTAGTAAATCCAATGGCCCACAATTTATTGCCCGCGATCCTAAGCCATGAAGATTCATAAGAATCCTCCTTCAATAAGGCCAGATAGCCACTAACAGAAAAAAGTGGCTTTAGGTGCAGATGAAACACCAGAATCCACGCGCGGGCCTCCAATGATGGCCGACCAGAATCAGTGCACAAAGCCACACCTGCAACACAGCGTGGTATATTTAACAGCTTCCCAAGGAAGCAAAGAAGTGAGAAATCAATAGATTTGGCAACCGCCTTAACCCTTATTGCCACTCCATCAGGGCTATTTTTGGGCAAGAACGCACAGGAACGGAGTTTCGGCTGGCTCCTGAGTTGGCCACGCCCAGCAGGAACTCATTAGCATAATAGGCCACACCCAACAGCAGAAACTCATTAGGATTGGCTACATTAGGGGTGTGTGGCCTAACATGCAAAGGAGTTCCTGCTACAAAAAAAGGCCCTGAGTTTTGACAACAAACAAGGTGAACAGAATAACAAGCAAAAGGTGGGTGTGGCTGGATGGCCACACTTCTGGTAACATGGGAGTGCGGCCTAATGCGCTAATGAGCTGCGCTGTCAGGGGTGTTGGCCTAATATGCTAATGAGTTCCTGCTGTTGGGTGTGGCCTATTATGCTAATGAGTTCCTGCTGGGCTTTTTCTACAAAAAGAGCCCTGCATAAGGTCAAAGTCCCTCCCCTCCCAAAATATGCTCTCCCCAGGTTCCACCCCCCAAATCTCCAGGAATCTCCCAACCTATTTATTTATTTATTTATTTCGATTTCTATCCCGCCTTGCCTGACAATTGGCAACCCTACCTCATGCCTAACCTAACATTCCCCCTTCTTTGCCTGAAATACTGCACTGTCACAGTTAAGCGTCAGTAGCATTTACAGGGCCATCGGCATCTCAGACTGTGAGGCACATAAAGAGGCTATTTTGGGGGGGGGGGGGGATTTGGGAAATGAGTTCTTGATTTCATTAATATCTTGTTTTTACTGGGGATGAGGGGTGTTTGTGTGCCCGCACACGCCATCGTTTAATTTCCTGCCTCAAGTGTTTTGAGGCAGCTCCCAACATCTGTATTAATATAACACAAGCGAGGGTTTTAATGTAAATCTAATACCAAAGGTGATAACTGCACATTTCCCCTTTTTTAATTTACTAGGAATTGCTGGGGTTTCCCCCCCCCCCCCCCGTGCAGAAATGGATGGTAAGTTGGCATGCTTCAGCTCATGATTCATCTAACGTGGCTGATGCAGAATCCATGAGGGGAAGAAGAAGCCATTAACTTCAGCTGTCTTCCCGGAACCTGCTAATGTACAGCTTGGCTGGAAAGATCTATAGGGAGAGGCATCAATATTAAGTATTCTAAAAGAAGAGACAAACATTTGGGGGGGGAATCTTTTAAAGAAGCCACCTCTGTGAGGGGAATTTTTGTGGAATGTGTTCTTCCACTGTGCAAAACAACTCCAGCTGAACTGAGATTTTGTGGCCGATAGGGGTGATTTCATAGAAAAAGAGGTGCAGGAGCTCATTAGCATAACTCATTAGCATAACTCATTTGCGTATGCCACACCCCCTGGAAGTGTGTCAGAAGGCAACACCCACCGCTGAGGCTCCACTGGACTGTTTTGGATTGCTAGCTATTGGGGGGGGGGGACGGGCAGATCTGTCCTCGCAGGGGAGGGAGAGCTTGTACCTGAATAAGACTTGGTCTTAAAGGTGCCACTGGACTCTTTTGGGCCGGGGGGAGCTCTGCAACTTACCTGGCTGCTTCTTGCTCTGACTGAAGGCTGCTGGGAGCCTTGTTGCATGTGCCCGTCCCCTGGGCTCTTTACTGCCGGAGCTCCGCTCCTGTGCGCTCCTGCAGGAAATGACCCCTGGGGCTGATTATTGATTATTTGGGGATACAGGTAGGAGACTAGGGAGGTACGAAACATTCCTTTTCATTTGTTCTTTTTTTCTTTGTATACCCTTGTGTCCCCTTTTCCTTTGCTCCTTTTCATTGCTGATATTCCTGATTTGTTTATTTCATTGGTATGCAATGGGTGTAGGATTGCCATCTTCCAAGTGGGGCCTACAGTTCTCCTGGAATTACCAGTGATCTCCAGACTACAGAGATCAGTTCTCCTGAAGGGAACGGCAGTTTCCACAGGCAGACTCCATGGTATCGCCTCCCCACCGAGCTCCCTCCCCTCCTCAAAGTTGGCCCTCCTAAGCTCCGCACCGAAATATCCAGGAGTTTCCCAAAGCTGGAGTTGAAAATCCTAAATGGATGGCAAATTATTCTTAGAAATCAGATTCATTTCATGATGACAGTATGCCACGGGGAAACCATAAAATGGCACCCAGACATTGACGTGTTTGATTTGAACAAGGGAAACGTGAACTTAACATGGAGTGGGGCAGGGGGAGTTGAGTCAAAATGGTGGGGTTATGAAATTTGGTGGAATCTCTAATGGATAAATCAGACAGGAGAAGCAATGAAGGACAGGAAAAGGGAAATTATTTAGTTTATTATATTTTTACCGCAGGGCACCATTAGGAGATTCCGCCATACATTGTGGGCCATCTTTGGAGGATGGTTTGAAGGATCCTGTTTGTGCTATATACAGTGCTCACACCACCATTGCCTCTGGTAAAGAGGTTTGGCAGGGTTTCTTTGTTTTATATTTGTTTAAAAAAACATTCAAAGCCTGTTTGATCAAAGGTGGCAACAGGACAAAATAAACAGTCGTGAATGCCACGAAATGGTGACCATCTCACATTTCTTTCATATCTCTTATTTTAAATGACTGATTGCCCCCATCCACTGAAACAATCATTGTAGAGAAATGGGTAAAACGGTTGTTTCTTGTGTTGTTACATATGCCCCGGTCCCATGGGCTGAAAAACACGGGGGGGAGGCGTGGGTATTTGCGGTGTGGCAATTAGCCGCGCGATAACGCAATCAGACGCGTCGGAGGCAACCCGCGGTTCCGGCCCTTGGCGTGTGCACAGCAACGAAGACGGCCGGAGGGAATAGCCGTGCCAGTGCGATCACACCAAGGGACTCCGGAGGCAGCCCGTGGCAGACCGTTTGCTACTACCTTCGAGGAGGGATTTTTTTATCACACATTTTCGGCGGCATGCCACGGGTTGGCCACGGGTGCGCTCCACTTGTCAGATGTTGTGGTGTGATCGCGCCCGGAAAATCCGCCATCCAATCGTGGCTCTCCTGCGGGAAATTCACCGTGTGAACGGGGCCATATTTGTTTTACCACCTGTTGTGTATGCTGACCACCACTGGGGAGACAGCGAACAGCCAGAGCTTAACTCTGGAAGAACAATAGGGACTAGGCTCCTAGTCCCTCCACTGGGGAACCAATGGGCACCGTGGCGGGAAATTCAAACCCACCAACGGAGTCCAGGGGTGTGTCCCTGGAGTGTATATAGTTGTCCTGCCGGCCGTTAGTGGCAGTCTTGTTGTGTACCAAATTAAGCGTGCTTTGCACTATGCCAGTCTTTGTCCTTCGTCCGTGCGGCAAACCCACTACACAATGCCACCTAACTGTGCTGTTTTTTAACATGGGCCCAGGAAGCAATTTAATTACACACAAAACTTAAACTCAGTTTAGGGATGATTTCAAATTTCACATTCTTGCTGGCTTGTCTCAAAAATATCTGTTTCGGTCTTGTTTTTTCATTCTGCAAAGCAAACCAGGGAACCTTTAGTGTCACAGCATTTTTTTGCTTCCTTATTTCAAATTATTGCTGTTAAATGTACACATTTTTAACAGTCTTTTGCATGCAAATAGGGTTGAGCGTATAAGTAGCATAAAATAAACGAATGAATCGGCTGGATGCAAAAGGTTCACAATAACAAGATGTGAAAAAGAAAAGGAGCCACGAAAGCACCTTTGCACATCTCTAGCCCCAGCAATCCCTTCATTTTCTTCACCCTGGTAGCTGAAAGGAACTTACTTTTCTGGCCGTGAGACACCACAACTCAAATGGAAGATTACAACTATCTTTCATGTCCAGAAGCACCAGAATATCAGCTCTTATAAAGCGTATGCACGGCCCTTTAGAGACGCAGCGAGCAAGAAAGGCCCCTAAGAAAAGCAAAAAGGCTTTTTCTACGCACTCTGCCATGCTGTTTAGCTGCTGCCACATGTTCTCTCTGTGCTAACATAGTGGTTTCACTCGCTTCCTCTTCCTCAACATCACACCACAAATGCAACTGTCAGAGGGAGGAAAACCCATCTCTATCAAGAAATTGATCCCATGATGACGGATGCCATCCAGAGTGGCTGTGGTTGTTTTTTTTTAGAAGCCTTGTGATGAACACGAGAGAGAGATCGGCAGGCAGACGGAAGAATTTAAAAAGGAGAAGGAACCTTATAGCTTCCGCACTGCCTGCTTTGGATCCTCCATCTTGGTAAGGCAGAGATTAAGCTATTAATTATGTGCCATCTGTTCCGAGCGATGCTACATCCATCGGTTCTGACTTTAATTCTTTCAGTGGGAATTTGAAAACCGCATTGTCTTTTCCTTGAGGCTGCAATATTTACCCTTCTGCACCTGCCAGCTGAGAAATCCATAGGTCTTCTTCCGACTGGACTGAACACCACCCAGTGCATAAGGATCTTTAATGTGTGGATTCGGCAACCAGGACGTTTGCCTTTATGGAAAAAACCTGCATCGTAATTTTGCAAGAGGAGGGTTTGTGAAATCTGACATTTGCCTCCTTGATAGCAACCGACGTCTGACTTACTCCGCTCAACAGGATATTAGAGACAGGGTGGAATAATCCCCTCCGCAAAGTAAGTATATATATATATATATTTCCCCCTCCACTGCCTTAGATTAGTTAAGGGTCTTGTATGCTAAATAAAACAGGGAACAGTGAATTTACATGCTCAGCCCCAGAATCGGTGTTAGAAACAACGGTCAGGGTCAATGTTCCCTCTAAGCTGTGGAGTCTTGTGAGCAAAAATTCTACTTTGTGAGCTTCTGGCATTAAAGTTGTGAGCGAGTGATTTGGCTACTGCATAAGTCAGTTTGCTATGGAGTCATCCTTCCTAAGATAAGACAAAAATGTGTGAGCCAGAGGCTAAGAAACTGTGAGCTAGCTCACACTAACTCAGCTTAAAGGGAACACTTCAGGGTACTTCTTCAAGGCATGTGCAGAATCCATTCCCATGCCAGTGAGTAACCTTTATCTGGAAATAACCCCATGCATCTGGAATTAGGAAGCAGGGTTTTAAGTCAGAGAGTGAGGCCAGCGTAGGGATGCCAGCCTCCAGGTGGGACCTGTGGATCCCTTGGAATTATATCTCATCTCCAGACTTCAGAGATAAGTCCCACTGGAGAAAATGGATGCTTTGAAGGGTGGACTCTGTGGCATTGTGCCCCACTGCCATAGGCTCCACCCCCCAATCTCCAGGAGTTTCTCATTCTGGAACTGGCAACCCTACCCCCACCACCGCCGGGGGCCAGGGGGGAACCTGGCAACCTTAGGCCAGCGCCCGTGACTTGCTTTAAAAAAGAGATTGACAGCTGCTAAAATTGTGTGTTATTTGGGGGATAGGCACATTTCTGCTTGTCACAGTTATAGAGCCTCAGTCTAGAACAGTGATGGCGAACCTTTTAGAGACCGAGTGCCCAAACTGCGACCCAAAACCCACTTATTTATCACAAAGTGCCAACACGGCAATTTAACCTGAATACTGAGGTTTTACTTTAGAAAAAAACAACTCATACATTAACTTAAGATGATCCAAACAAAGTAAGGAAAGCAATTCCAAATGCTTACACTTACTTTAAATTATTTGGCAGAGAATTTGACACTTTAATGATGGTCTGGGCCTGGCTGGGGCGATTGCACGCGTGCCCACTGAGAGGGCTCTGAGTGCCGCCTCTGGCACCCATGCCATAGGTTCGCCACCACTGGTCTAGAAGGAAGGTTGTAGTTTTCCCTGGAAGTCAGTCTTGTAATTATACGCACACACCCCTCTCCCCTTTCTCTTACCCACAGACATGCTTGCCCTAACTCTCTTCGATAGGCCACAGTCATGTTGCCTTTTCTGTCTCCCTCAGCACCAGCATGGCTGCTTATTGAGGCTGCCCTTCGGAGAGGCCATGGCCAGTTTGGTGTAGTGGTTAAGTGCACAGACTCTAATCTGGGAGAACCGGGTTTGATTCCTCACGCCTCCACTCGCAGCTGCTGGATGACCTTGGGCAAGCCATAGTTCTGTCAGAGGTGTCCTTGAAAGAGCAGTTCTCAGTCAGAGCTCTCTTAGCCCCGCATACCTCACAAGGGTGTCTGTTGTGGGGAGGGGAAGGGAAAGGAGTTTGTAAACTGCTCTGAGAGTCGGAGTGAAGGGCGGGGTATAAATCCAATCTCCTCCTCCTCTTTGGTGGAGGGCCTTGCTGTGCCTGCCGAAAGTTCCAAGTGAGAGTCTCAGTGCCTGACATTAAAAACCTCTTAGAGAGCTGTGTTAGAGTAGGCCTCTTGAGTTGCTGCCAGGCAGAGTAGGCGATACTGGGTGGACCAACAGGTTGACTTGGCTTAAGGTATAAGGAGCAGTAAATTCATAAAATGCTAGGGGATAGGGCCCAAGTCTTCCAAAAGAATTTCCTCTCTTCTGGCCTGAAAACCCCTGTCCCCTAATTTCAGATGCGCACTGTTTGGTTGTGATTGCTCAGTAGTGAGGGCACAACATTGGTGCTGATGGGCAGTAGGTTCAGGACAGACAAAAGGAAAGACCAAGAGAGTGATTAAAATGTGGAATTCGCCGCCAGAGGATGTAGTGATGGCCACAGGAATAAACAGCTTTAAAAGGGGATTAGAGAGATTTGTGGAGGAGAAATCTATCAGTGGCTACTAGCCATAGTTGCTGAGGGAAACCTCCACATTCAGAAGCACTAATCCTCTGAATCCCAGAGCCAGGAGGTAACATCAGGGGAAGGCCTCAGCCTCTCTGCCCTGTTGTTGGCCCTCCAAAGGAACTGGCTGGCCACTGTGTGAGACAGGATGCTGGACCATTGGCCTGATCCAGCAGGGCTCTTCTTATGTTCTTAACACTCTGTGCATGCTCAAAGGCACTCAGTTATCTCTGCGGTGCATTTTTAAAGATTGTTGTAGGGTTTAGGATTAAACCCAGGTTCCTCCCTCCCTTTGCACAAAGTGTGATTATCTCTGATGCCCCAGTGGTTTTTAAGTGTGCATAAGACAGGCCATGGGGCTCTTCTTGTGAAGCTCAGCCTGCTAACTGTGCTTCAGCGACATCCACTTTGCAGTTTTAAATGTTCCCCATAGTTACAGTACCAGACAGGTGTGAGATTTCTCCGCTGTGAGGGAGAACCAGCTCCCATGAACCCAAATTCCATATTTTTATTATTATAACTATTGCACCATCCATAGACAGGATGCTTTAATTAAAAAAAAAACAGGAAAAGCCCTGGCCCTGAGGAGTATGTAGTCTAAAATTTTATTCAAGTGGGGGCCCAACCACAGGGAGGGAAAGCAGTAGGGAAATACAAGTTCAGTTCAGATACAAGTTCTTAGGTGTGTCACAATCTTTTGCAGGTTCTTGCGGATTGTTAAGGAGATTTCAGAGGGGCACCAGGCCATAGTAGATGGGGGTGGGTGGGTTTGGAGCGAGGTTGCCAGCCTCCAGGTGGAATGCAGAAACAACAGTGAGATCACGGGAAGGATGCAAACAGTAATGAAAACAACTGTGATGTTATGTTATGACATTCTTTGTGTGTTAATCCACGGATTAGAATTGTTGACGTGTAAACTAATGGAGCTGCGGTGGCTCAAGTGGTTAAGACGCTGAACTGCAGGCTGTGTGAGGTCGGTAGTTCAGCAGTTCGAGACCCGAGTTGCCACATGACGGAGTGAGCTCCTGTCTCTGGCCCCAGCTCCTGCCAACCTAGTAGTTCGAAAGCAAGAAATTGCAAGTAGATAAATAGGTACCACTTTGGTGGGAAGGGAACAGCGTTCCGTGCTCCTTGGTGTTTAGTCATGCCGGCCACATGACCACGGAAACATCTTCGGACAGCGCTGGCTCTTCGGCTTTGTAACGGAAATGAGCACCGCAAACCTAGAGTCGGATTCGACTGGCTTTCGAGCAAGGGAACCTTTACATTTTTAAACTAATAGTATTCATGCAGCACACTTAGAAAAAGCTGTTACGTGAAACGGTATTATATGCAATTCCTGTTGTGTGTATGCGTATATCTTTATAATGTGATGAAGGAACATGATTCACTACAGAATAGTAGTCTAAATATATTTTCGTAATACAACATCACGGTTGTTTTCGTTATTGTTTGAAACCTCCAGGTGGTGGCTGTAGTTCCCCCGGAATTACAAACAATTTTGAAACTACAGAGATCCGTTACCCCCGGAGAAAATGGCAGTTTTGGAGAGCAGACGCTCTGGCAATCAGGGATTCTCTGGCTTCACCCTCAAATCTCCAGAAATTTCCCAATCCAGACTTGGCAACCTTGTTAGGGAGGCTGAGAGTGGCTTGTCTGCCCCACTAGGTAGGTAGGCACATGGCCCAGGCAGATTTGAACTGTGGCACTTCTGGATTCATACCCTTCCTGCTTCCTTAGCCAGGGTGTGGCCAGGCCAAGCGCTCTAGCCATGATAAGCTCCGCGTTCTTTCGAGCTCTCTTTGTTGCTTCTACGAATGCTGATGACATCATTTTGAAAAAGTCTCTCCATTTCAGACCCTCCCCCTCCGCAGACACATACCCCCCACATCTAAATCAATCTTAGAATCGTTTGGTGTCTCCAAGCGCCCCTCCCAGCAGGAGTTGCCTCCTGCGGAACAACCTCCCCCCCAATGCATTAAACAGATGCATTAAACAGATGAAATCAGCAATTCAGATAATGATCTCAGTCCCCTGTCTGGCTTTTGTGACCCTCTTCAGGTTGGGTTTCTGCTTTTTTCAATTATTATTTTTTTTAAGTTCAGCAGTCATTTAAATGTTAGGTCATCATTTTTTTTCTTTTAAAGGAAAATCTAATGCTATTTTTAATAGAATTTCATTTAATTTAAGATTACATAATAAATTAACAGAAATATAAATTAACAGAAATATTTGAAATAACATTCAACTGAAATCTTTATACCCCACTTGATTACATCAATTGAGCAAGTCTTGGGGGGGGGAAGGGTTTGCTAAACTCTATTTAGTTGAGATCCATTTTCCCCTCTTGTTAAGAATGTCAATTTGATTACCCAAAAAGGTTTCTTTACATATCATGATCCATTACATATCATGATCCATTTACATATCACGATCCATTCTTCTATTGGTGGAATATTATCTGACTTCCAATATCTCGCGAAGGCAATTCTAGCTGCTGTTCTATATGAAAGACCATCATTCAAAATTCTTTCAGAAACGTATATAATTTAATAAGGTAACCTCAGAGGAACAGGGGAAATCCATACCTAAGCCACATTTCATAATGTCAGCAACCAATAACCAGGATTTGTTGGCCTGCATGCCCAACACATATGCAAACAGAACAGATTTAGAGTCCAATGGCACCTTTAAGACCAACAAAGTTTTATTCAAGGTATGAGCAGGGGTCGTTTCGTAGAAAAAGAGCGAGGGGAACTCATTAGCATAACTCATTAGCATATGCCACACCCCCTGACATCACCGGAAGTGTGTCATAAGGCCACACCCCCTGACATCACCAGAAGTGTGTCATAAGGCCACACACCCCGCCCCCAACGGTCCCGGCGGTGGACCTGCAAGGCCGGCGGGAGTGCAAGGAAGCCCCACGAAGGCCCTCCCTGTCCCCAGGCAGGCAGGGGTGGGGAGAGGCAGGGAGGAAGCAACTTACCCTCCCTCTTCTCCTGCCTCCTCCTGGCTGAATGAGGGCCGGAAGCGGGGCAGCCGGCAGCAGGGGCGGGGCTTCGTCATGTGCCCCGCCCCCCGTACCTCATCCAGGGGCACTGTGATCCCCCGCGATCCCCCCCGAAATGACCTCTGGGTATGAGCTTTTGTGCCCATGCGCAGTTTTTTTAATACATTGGAAGGAAGGTAAGGTTCAAACTTATAGACAGGGGCTGAACAGCAAATTAACATGTAACATGATCAAGATGTTTTAAGATATGCAAGACAAAACTAAATAACAAACTAAGGTTATAAGGTCAACCGTTGTAAAGCAATAAATATGTCAAAATAAGACTGAGACTCTCCATTCACTCCTCTCAGGTGTGGAGGTCACTTAACAACATTCCCCCCCCTTTTTTTGAGGTGGGTATAGTGCTGTGTCGAGGAGCTGCAGTGGCTCAGTGGTTAAGACGCTGAACTGCAGGCTGGAAGGTCGGTAGTTCAGCAGTCCGAGACCCGAGTGCCGCAGGACGGAGTGAGCTCCTGTCTCTGGCCCCAGCTCCTGCCAACCTAGCAGTTCGAAAGCAAAAAATTTCAAGTAGATAAATAGGTACCACTTCGGTGGGAAGGTAACAGCGTCCCGTGCGCCTCGGCGTCTAGTCATGCCGACCACATGACCAGGGAGACGTCTTTGGACAGCACTGGCTTTTCGGCTTGGAAACGGAGATGAGCACCGCAACCCTAGAGTCGAATTCGACTGGCTTTCGAGCAAGGGAACCTTTACCTTTACCTAGTGCTGTGTCAGCCAAACATTCCCATATTCCTTCATATTCCTTCATATTCATATCTTCAGACAATGATTCAAGCCCGTTGCACCCTGTCACAACATATGCAAATAGTTTGCATTTGGTAGTTTGCAATACCAACATTTGTCGGACGATTTTTTTGACATCACCTCAAACAGCAAAATCTAATTTTAAAAGAGCTGGTGGAGGCAAGATGGGTTTATAATGCCAGAAGCACCAACCAATCACAGGTGCCCCCGCTGCAGAATGATAGGGCTGGCCACCAAGGGGGTGATAGCTAGACATCTCCGTACCGTAAGGCAAATGCAGTTCCACAAGAAACCGACTACTTAGAATTTCTGCCCTCTTGGCCACTGGATGGGCCAGACGTTTTCCCTGGCCTTTCTCCCTGATAACGAGAGCCAGAAATTTAGTTGCTGTTTTTGTATTGTAAGCCACAACCCAAGATTCATATTCCTCGTACACCCTCAAGTCACGTTCAATCTGTCTGCTGCAACTAATGAACTCTTCTCATGGCACGTTCTCTCCACCCACTGGCAGCACCTCCAGTCAGACGATGTTGCCGTTGTTAGAGGTTGCTGACAGCGTCACTGAAGAATCGGAGGCAGCCCGGAACTGGGCAGAGGATGGGGGAGATGAGTTACGGCCTCTGGACACCCCTTTCCAGAACGAGAGCCAGCCCGCTGCAGTGATCAGGATAAGAAAAGATTATCGGGGTAACGATGCGAGGTAAGGAGGTACCTTATAAGGGCGTCATGCTCCCCAGACTTCTGATAGCTGATGCATTACTTTAGGGGATCAAAATGGGAGGCAAACTTACACCCCACAACCAGGGGTCATTTCGTAAGAGCTAGGGGAACTCATTAGCATAACTCATTAGCATATGCCTCCCCCCCTGACATCAGGGGCCCGGCGGTGGACCTGCAAGGCCAGCGGGAGTGCGAGGAAGCCCCGCCAAGGCCCTCCCTGGCCCCAGGCAGGCAAGGGTGGGGAGAGGCGGGGAGGAAGCAACTTACCCTCCCTCTTCTCCTGCCTCCTCCTGGCTGAATGAGGGCTGGAAGCGGAGCGGCCGGAAGCAGGGGGCAGGGCTTCGTCATGTGCCCTGCCCCCCGTACCTCACCCGGGGGAACTGCGTTCCCCCGCGTTCCCCCTCGAAATGACCTCTGCCCACAACTAGTTATTGAGAATTACAATCCTTGGAAGTGTCCCCGTCCCCTTGTTTCTGTGTAAATCACTGTCCTCAGTATGCATTCTGACTGTACGCAAGCAGGCCCAGAGTAGGGACCCATCCAGAGATTCAACGGGCAGCCTTCCCAGAGTCTGTGAAGTTCTGTTTATGGCCCATTCTGCACCTAGCATTCGCTCCGCTGCTTTGCCAAACCCATGTTTGGTCTGATATACCTGAGGGACCGCATTTCCCCACATATGCCCCAAGGAGCACTTCGGTCAGGGTCACACCACCAGCTAGTGACCCCGAGCCCTAAGGAGGCCAGGCTTGCGGCAACGAGGGCCAGGTCCTTTTCAGTGGCGGCTCCTATCTGGTGGAATGAGCTCCCGGAGAAGATCAGGGCCCTGCGGGACCTTTTGCAGTTCCGCAGGGCCTGTGAGACGGAGCTCTTCCGCCAGGCTTTCGAGTAGGAGCCGCCACTGCCACTACCACCACCACTCCGCTATAGAGTGACACCGCCGGAGGGCCGAGTAACTTCTATCTACGGCCCTGGCCCTCCTCCTTCTGGTATGCAAGATGTTTTGGATCTTTCTATTCTTGCATCCTGATTGTACTGAATGTTAACGGTTTTATCTTTTTATACTGTATGCATTTTGTGCCTTGTTGTAAGCCGCCCTGAGCCCGCTCGCAAGGAGGGCGGGGTATAAATATAATGAAATTTAATACATAAATAAATGTTGGAAAAGAAATTCCCCTCTACATTGCATGCCACTTTCACTTTCTTTGCTTGTCCTTACGGTAGCCTCCACGCTGCATGCCGGTTTCACTTTCTTTGGTCTCTCGGTTTTATGGAGGCCGTCTGCATAGATTTATGTGGTTTTGAGCTGCATCTTTTTCTGTTCCAGTGTGGGGTTGGTAGAACGACAGAGCGAATGCCAGATGTAGAATGGGCCTCTATGTCTCTGCAACGGGACAAATGCATTGCTTGTCCAAGGATAACATCTTGATTTGGATTGCTCTGTGGAACACCTGGAAAATCGGGGTTCCCCAACCTCCCGTCTCAACTTCCTCATCTCCTAGATTCCCAAACTCCCGTAATATTGAATAAATACCTTTGCTTTCCTTCCGCAGCCCAAAGGATCCAGATCCCTACAACAGAGACCGTATCTTCGGCGCTGTTACGAGCGGCACACCTGAGGAGCTGGAAGGCCTGGCCGGATACTTGCGAAGAAGCCACAAATTTCTCTCCAACTCTGAATACAGAGGTAAATGCCTGCACGCCCCTGCCCAAAAATATGACATAAAACTGGTGCAGTCTTGTACAGAGCGGCTCAACTTCTTGTCAGATTAAGAATTGGCTCATGATTGCCAAAAAGGATTTGTGTTTCTGTGAACGTGATGTGTGACAAGACAGAGACGCCACAGAAGAAGCTGCCCCACCGGATGCTGAGTGGAAGGAAGCAAGCCCAGAGCAAGGACTTTATCCAGTGCACATAGCAGACAACCCTTTTTGGTGGTTGGGCGCTCTGAGCTGTCAGGAAACAAGAATGATTCAGTCCCCTATGGCTCACAGGTTGTAGCTCAGTGGAAGAGCCTCTGCTGTGCATACAGCCTTTCCAGTTAAAAAGGGCCAGGCAGGGGTCATTTCCTGCAGGAGTGCACAGGAGCAGAGTTCCGGCAGTAAAGAGCCCAGGGGGCGGACACATGCAACAAACCCCACCCCCTGCTCCCAGCAGCCCTCAGTCAGAGCAAGAAGCAGCCAGGTAAGTTGCAGAGCTCCCCCGGCCCCCCGGCCCAAAAAAGTCCAGTGGCACCTTTAAGACCAAGTTTTATTCAGGTACAAGCTCTCCCTTCTCTGTGAGGACAGATCTGCATGTTCCCCCCCCCCCCCCCAATAGCTGGCAATCCAAAACAGTCCAGTGGAGCCTGAGTGGTGGGTGTTGCCTTCTGACACACTTCCGGTGATGTCAGGGGGTGTGGCATATGCAAATAAGTTATACGAATGAGTTATGCTAATGGGCTCCTGTACCTCTTTTTCTACGAAATGACCCCTGGGGCCAGGTAGTAGGTGATGTGAAAGGTGTCCACCTGAAACCCTGGAGAGCCACCGCTAGTCTGAGTAGAAAATATCGACCTCGATGGACTGGTGGTCTGTTCCAGGATAAGTCAGCTTCGTGTGTGTTTCACTGTAAGTTTGATTGTGGCACACAGCTTGGAAAATACAAATCCGCTCTCTGCTCTGAATGGCAGTAGCTCCCCCAACTCTCCTCCCTGATACCCAAGGCCCTTATTAAGCGGAGATGGGAATGGTTAAAGCTCAGACCTTGAGCAAGTGTGTGCCTTATCACTGAGGTGGCTGAAGGACAGCATAAGAACATCAGAGAAGCCGCGTTGGATCAGGCCAATGGCCATCCAGTCCAACCGTCTGTGTCACACAGTGGCCAAAACCCTGATGCCATCATGAGGTCCACCAGCAGGGCCAGAACTCCAGAAGCCCTCCCACTGTTGCCCTCCAAGCACCAAGAATACAGATCATCACTGACCCAGACATAAGAGGAGCCATGTTAGATCCGGCCAATGGCCCATCCAGCACTCTGTGTCACACAGTGGCCAAAACCCAGGTGCCATCAGGAGGTCCACCAGCAGGGCCAGAACTCCAGAAGCCCTCCCACTGTTGCCCTCCAAGCACCAAGAATATAGAACATCACTGACCCAGACAGATGTTCCATCTATACTTTGTGGCTAATCGCCACTGATGGACCTCTGCTCCATATGTTTATCCAGTCCCTTCTTGAAGTTGTCTGTGCTTGGAGCCGCCGCCACCTCCTGTGGCAGTGAATTCCACGTGTTAATCACTCTTCAGTTGAAGAAGTACTTCCTTTTATCTGTTTTGAGCTTCCTGCTCATTGATTTCATTGAGTGCCAATGAGTTCTTGTATTGTGATAGAATTCTCTATTTTCTCTATCCCACGCATAATTTGGTCAACCATTATTTTGTAAACAGAATTGCAGCCTCTGGTCCTCTGCATTTTCAGCATAACATGTGTACTGAGCTCCCCCACATGTACAAACTGCTTATGTTGGTTTCTCCCTTGTGATCAGGGATGCTGGACTATCAGCATCCCCAGCCACAGGGACCGAGCCTATACATTCATGGCTTGCAAGATGCACAAACCTGTCCTCTCCTTTCTTGGTGTGTTTTCATAGGTTGTGAGCATTTTCATTTTGTCCATAGGGGTCAATGATGTTCCTGGGCTGCGGGCACACGGGCAGGAAAATGCGGGGGGGGGGGGAAGCGTGACTGTTTGCCTCGGGGCTAAAAAACGCGCGGTTGCGCGAGCAGACCTACCGTGGAGGTCCCGTGGAGGTCCCGTGGTAGGGGGGAGGTGCTGATCACTCCACAGTCCTGCGGCACGGCAAAGAAGCGGGGCGTGGGGCAAACGGGGTTGGGTGGTTTTTTAAAAACTCAAATGTGCGCATGCTCCCTTGGGTGCTTGTGCGCATCCGTGGAGACTTTGAAAAAAAACCCAACCTTTTTGTGAGGGGACATGGGCGGGCGCCGGAACTACTGCTGGAAATGCGATCAGATGCCCGCCCTTGCCCCGCGGTTTTAGGAAACTAGTATCTCCGAGGTACTAGTTTTTTACCGCGCATCTTCCGCGGGAAGCCTCGGGTTCGCCACAGGAGCTCGACGCTTCCCAGATGTGGCGGTGAAATCGCACCCGGAAAATCCGCCTATCTTCCGTCCCTCTAGCGTGCCTAATGCTCCGTGTGACCGCAGCCCTGATCTGTTTGTTTCTTTTAAGGCATTATGACCTTATACACCATATCCTTGATGTGGGAATTGTTCTTCCAGAATTGCATTTGCTTGAAATGGTGGCGGGACGGGGGAGAGCTATCACGATCTTCCCAGATACAAATCCCCGCATGTTCATAGAATTGGGACGATATAGCCACAGAAGCCCTGCCTACAGGAGATGGTGCGGCTGAGCTGAAACTCCTCTCTTCCAGATGGAAAAACAGGAAAGACTTGCTTAATGAAGGCCCTGCTGAATTTGAGAGATGGGACGAACCCCACCATCGCGGTGCTGCTGAAGATCGACAAGGAGAGCGGGAATCCAACCCCCCTAGTCAATGCTGCTTGCACTGGTAACTACTACCAAGGTACGTGTTCCTGGGATTATGTCTCTGCCCATCTGGCGGGGGGGGGGGCAGGGAACTGTACTGAAGATGAGCGAAGACTGAAAGGTCAAACCCATTGATAGATCTGCCCATGGTTTACTCTAGGAGTCCCTAACCTTTTTGAGCCTGTGAGCACCTTTAGAATCCTGACCCAGAGTGGTGGGCACAGCTTCAAAATGGCTGCCACAAAAGAGCTGCCCCAGGAGGCAGAGCCAGTCACAAAATGGCCGCCACATCTTGCCTTCGGTCACACAGTGAAGATCCTTGTGCGGTAGTAGCAGCTGTCCCCAAAGCAATCAGAAAGCTTGCTGGGCAAATGTCCCATCTTGTCCTGCCCACGTTCTGAAAACACATGGTGGGTGCCAGGAAAGGTGTTGGGAGGCACCGTGGCACCTATGGGCAATGTTCCCGCTAAGCTGAGTTAGTGTGAGCTAGCTCACAGTTTTTTAGCCTCCGGCTCACAGTTTTTTAGCCTCCGGCTCACACATTTTTGCCTTAGCTCAGGAAGGAGGGCTCCAGAGCAAACTAATTTATGCAGTAGCCAAATTGCTCGCTTGCAACTTTAATGCCAGTAGCTCACAAAGTGGAATTTTTGCTCACAAGACTGGTGACCCCTGATTTCCTCTATAGAACTGAATGGCCTGTTTCCAATCAAGTGGGTGATTCAGCTTTTATGCCCACCGTGTTCCTCCCCTTTGATCAGTCATAATGGTTCAGTGGTCACCTGGCCCCTCCCTTCTTGGTAGGGTTGCCAGGCCGCCTCACCACACCAGGGGGGATTTGGGGGGGCATTCCGGGACATCCCCAACGTGATGGTGTCACCCGGAAGTGATGTCATCATGTCAGGGACGTTGCACAGTGATGCTCTGGTTTGAGGGGTGAAAGGTTATGGTAAAGCCAGCTCCAAAGTGTAGTCTTTTGCCCTCAAACCAGAGCGTTACTGTGCGGTGTCCCTGATGCGATGATGTCACTTCCAGGTGATATCACCCTGCCAACAATGGTATTCCCAGTAGTCCTGTATGGCTGCGAGAGTTGGACTATAAGGAAGGCCGAGCGCCGAAGAATAGATTCTTTTGAACTATGGTGCTGGAGAAGACTCTTGAGAGTCCCTTGGACTGCAAGAAGAACAAATCAGTCAATCCTAAAAGAAATCAACCCTGACCGTTCCCTGGAAGGCCAGATAATGAAACTGAAGCTCAAATACTTTGGCCAGCAAATGAGAAGGGAGCACTCACTGGAGAAGACCCTGATGCTGGGAAAGATTGAAGGTCAAAGAATACGGGGACGGCAAAGGATGAGATGGTTAGACAGTGTCACAGATGCAACGAACATGAAATTGAGCCAACTTCAGAGGACGGCGGAAGACAGGAAGGCCTGGCGAGATCTTGTCCATGGGGTCGCGAAGAGTCGGACTCGACTGTGCGACTGAACAACAACAACAAAAATCCGACTGTTACTCCTCTTAGTTTTGTGGACATTTATGAACTGTTAGGAATTTGTTGAGCTGTACTGGACTATTTGCACTGGTGTCTTTGGAATGGATCTGAAAGGTTATTTAGAGCACTACACTGTTAATATAAGAATGTTTTGAATCAAGTGTCAAGTGTTTTTAGGTACAGTGCTACAGTTTTTGACTGTGTTGTTATATGCACAACCCTTTTTGCGGTATTTCCATTTATTTATTCTAGACCACCTGGAGGCTGGCAGTACTAGTGGGCACGGGCCAGTGCCAGGGGGCCCTGCAAGGAGCACTGGGTCCTTGCGGATGTCCCACCTAATGGTCTGCTGACACCGGCCCTGGTCATATAAGCAGTGGGAACGACTGTATTACATTACATGCACATAAAAGGGGGGAAAGGCGTGTTTTTAGTTAGCAAATGGTGAATTGTTTGCTTGAACTAGAAGAAGAGAAGAAGAAGAGATTGGATTTATACCCCGCCCTTCACTTGGAGTCTCAGAGCGGCTCACAAACTCCTTTCCCTTCCCCTCCCCACAACAGACACCCTGTGAGGTAGGTGGGGCTGAGAGAACTCTGACACAAACGGCTCTTTTTTCAAGGACAGCTGTGCCAGAGCTTGTGACTGACCCAAGGTCACATCAGCAGGTGCAAGTGGTGGAGTGGGGGAATCAAACCCGGTTCTCCCAGATTAGAGTCCGCACACTTAACCACTACACCAAACTGGCCACTACACCACTACACCTAACTAGGCATCTGTTACTAGTCATGTCCTATTTTTGAGTCCTCCTAGGACACTCTGTTTTGCTTCGAGAGTCTTGTTTTAAAAATGCCTGAGGAAATGTAGGGCAGGGCTGAGCGTTACCCCAGATCAGATTTTGGAGATGTGATTCTTGTGTGAACCTTGTTTCTCCAGGCAACACGGCACTGCACATTGCCATCGAGAAGCGGAGTTTAGATTTAGTGAAGCTCCTGGTAGAGAACGGTGCCAACGTCCACGCCAGGGCCTCTGGGGAGTTCTTCCAGAAGAAGAAGAGAGGAGTGTGCTTCTATTTTGGTATGTTGCCAATATGACCCCAGGTGTGCTTTCAGGGATTTCTTTGGTGGCACCCTCTGATTAGGGGCAATGTTCCCTCTAAGCTGAGTTAGTGTGAGCTAGCTCAGTTTTTTAGCCTCCGGCTCACATATTTTTGTCTTAGCTCAGGAAGGATGGCTACAGAGCAAACTAATTTATGTAGCGGCCAAATGGCTTACTCGCAATTTTAGTGCCAGTAACTCATAAAGTAGAATTTTTGCTCACAAGACTCCACAGCTTAGAGGGAGCATTGATTATGGGTTGTGTACATAGTTTCGTCTTGTTTTTATTTGCAGTCATATATTGTTAAAAAAAATTCTCTTGCCCATTTTCCTTGCTGATCTCCCTCATTGGTTTCTTTCTCTTGTGGCGCTTTCTACACAGTTGCCACCAAAGCAGACATTCATTTTAACAGTGGGAGTAGAAGCTGTTGTCAGGTAGCTGTTGGCTCATTGCAACCCTGTAGGGTTTTCAAGGGAAGAGATGAACAGGAGTGGTTTGCCATGGCCTGCCTCTGTGTAGCATCCCTGGAATTCTTTGACGGTCTCCCATCCAGGGGTCATTTCCTGCAGGAGCGCACAGGAGCGGAGCTCCGGCAGTAAGGAGCCCAGGGGGTGGGCACACACAACAAGCCCCGCCCCTGCTCCCAGCAGCCCTCAGTCGGGCCACGAGGAACAAGAAGCAGCCAGGTAAGTTCCAGATCCCCCCCCGCCTGCTTTCAGGTACAAGCTCTCCCTCCTCTGCGAGGGCAGATCTGCACATCCCCCCCCCATAGCTAGCAATTCAAAACAGTCCAGTGGCACCTTTAAGACCAAGTGGAGCCTGAGCGGTGGTGTTGCCTTCTGACACACTTCCAGTGATGTCAGGGGGCGTGGCATATGCAAATCAGTTATGCTAATAAGTTATGCTAATGAGCTCCTGCACTTCTTTTTCTACGAAATGACCCCTGCTCCCATCCGAGTACTAACCAGGGCCGACCCTGCTTAGCTTCTGAGATGCGACAAGACTGGGCCATCCACTTCAGGGCCATTGTAACAATATTTCTGTAGAATTTCTTTTGTATGGTTGGGGGAAGATCCCACATCAGAAACTGCCTGGAAAGTTGGAGTCAAAAGTGTGTGGCCAAGAACGGTGGTAGCATTCCTAGCCCAAAGCCGCTTCTCCTTCCCAAGGATAACTTTCGTTCATCTTCGGTCTTCTGTGGAGTCCCACATTGGGACTGCGCTTGCACAGGCTGGCCACTGGAGGTCTCTACTAGCATTTCCTCGGGAAAGAAAGAGACCTTCGGGGAGACCTTCCCCTCCGGAGTGCATTAGCAGCTGTTTCCCGGTCCAAATGGCTACATGCTCCAGAGGGGGTGCTCCCCTTTTCCACACTTGGTTTTTCACTCTGGCAGAAGGTTGTTGTTCCAGTGTCTCTACAGGGTTCCTAGTAGTTTGAGCCGAGCTCTAAAAAAGAAAAGAAAGAAGGAGAGATAATTTTTTTTCCATCAGGGGCTTCTTGAGAATTTTTCAGAAAGTGCTTTTTAAGAAGTGTACCCAGTGCAGTATGAAAATGGCAAGGTCAGATGAACACTCACTCTGCCTCATACGTTTGGGCAAGGGGCACGACATGGCTTCATGTAAGTTTTGCCTGCAATTTACCCCCAAAGCCCAATCTGATCATGCCGCACGCTCAGAGGCCAGCCTATGGGGAAAAGCGCTTTCCAAGCACCAAATCTGTAATGTATTGAAATGGCTTACATGAATCACCTCATTCGCCTCCCATGTTAAGCTTCGAGCCAGACGAAGGCTCCTCCGCACTCACACGCTATTGGTCGCTCAACAACAGCGACCAATCTGAGAAGGACTAATTCCCTGAGCGGGAAGAACTCTCATTGGTCCTTATCCGCACAACCCCATTGGTTGTTAATTGTAAATGGGTGTGGCTATATTAGCCCGGGAATGTTTAAAAGGAGCCTAGCTCCCAATCAGTGTTCCCGCTAAGCTGAGTTAGTGTGAGCTAGCTCACAGATTTTTAGCCTCCGGCTCACACATTTTTGTCTTAGCTCAGGAAGGATGGCTCCAGAGCCAACTAATTGATGCAGGAGCCAAATCGCTCGCTCACAAGTTTAATGCCAGTAGCTCACAAAGTTGAATTTTTGCTCACAAGACTCCACAGTTTAGAGGGAACATTGCTCCCAATGTTAACCTGTTCTGGTTATGAATGCTTTAAGCGCTTGTTCATACCTTCAATAAAGCTGATCACTTGCTAAAATCACTCTCCGGATCTTTGTTAGCGGCGATCTAACAAAATCTATCTGCCTCAGTAGAGCAATCCCACAGTACGCCGACTAAGTCGCTGGCAACGATACAAAAAGCATTGGGACTGTCCTCAGTTTCATTAGCCCCCTTGGTTCCACATATAGAACCGATGTGGTGCCAATCCTATTCCCCCAACGGATCTTCTTCACATTGTGCCTCAGAGCCGCCACCTAAAAAGGCCAAGGCAAAAACCCCCCATTGCTCGGTTCTGAAAAAAACCTCGGTTTCGAGGACTGTGCCCGCACTGGTTCCAAAGACCTGATTCCACACCTATTGTCAATGCCCAAGGGAATTTCCATTCGTCTGCCTCTCAAACCAGACCTCTTACACGAGGGCCCCTTTGTTCACCACAGAGTCCACAGGTTGTGATCGACAGCATGGTTGCTGAACCAGCACAGTTAATTTTTTCCAAAAGGGTGGCTAGCATTCTCCTGAATGCTGGCAGACCCTCCACGACGTGCTGCTATGCTGCAAACTGGTCTCGCTTTTCCAAGTGGTCATTAGGAGCTTCCGCAACTACCTGCTCTCTTCCACTCGCATTTGAGTATCTCCTTTCTCTAAGGGAGTCTGGTTTAGCGGTGACTTCCGTCAAGGGTCACCTTGCCGCCATATCTGCTTCTCACTTCCTAGTTGGTGACAGCAGTGTGTTTTCCCATCAGGAACCGAAAAGGTTTTTGAAGGGGTTATTTAACTCTCCTCCCCCTCCCCAAGCGCACATTGTGCCTCAGTGATCTTCATCTGTGGTTCTCACATGGCTTGTGCTCTCACCTTTCGAAACACTTGCTTCATGCGACCTAAACCTCCTTCCCAATCACATCTCCTGGGAGGTTGGGAGAACTAGCGGCCTTACGGGCTGACCCACCTTTTATTAAATTTCATGGGGAAAAGGTGGTACTTCACCTTAGCCTACCACTCCTCCTGAGAGTGGTATAATCTTTCCACTTAGCAGAGGACATTGTCCTGCCCATCTTCTTTCTCTTTCCCATGTCAGAGGCAGAAAGAACTCTCCATTTATTGGATGTTAAAAGGGGTCTATTGTATTAAAGGTAAAGGTTTCCCTTGCTCGAAAGCCAGTCAAATCCGACTTTAGGGTGCGGTGCTTATCTCCGTTTCCAAGCCGAAGAGCCAGCACTGTCCAAAGACATTTCCATGGTCATGTGGCCGGCATGACTAGATGCCGAGGCGCATGGAACGCTGTTACCTTCCCACCAAAGCGGTAATCCATCAAAGTGGCACCACCACCGAGAAATCTCTGGCCCTGGTTGTAGCCAGCCTGACATCTTTGAGACTGGGGAGAGCAAGAAGATTTTGAGATCCTGACCGCAGTACTCTCTGGGGAACATATGGGGAAAGGTGGTTCCTCAGGTACGCAGACCCCTGGTTATACAGGGCTTTATAGGTAAGAACCAGCACTGTATTACTTTATTTATTTATTTATTCAATTTATACCCAGACCTCCCCCTGAAACAGGCTCAGGGCAGCTTACAAGGCCAATTGGCATCATAAAAACATTACGACAGTAAAAAAAAAAATCTTAAAAACAAATGGCAAGGTGCTATATACCTAAGTTGATCCTAGTTGATCCTAATAGGGTCATTACACACACACACACACACACACACACACACACACACAGCTGGCAAACTGGCTCCTTGACGTGTTAGAGCAGACGGCCAAAGGTGGCTTACCCAGTTGGTATTGGGCATTTTGAGTGGCTTCTCACTCAAAACGCTTGGTGGAAGAGCTCCATCTTGCAGGCCCTGCGGAATTGTGATAAATCCCGCAGGGCCCTAATGTCCTCAGGGAGCTTGTTCCACCAAAGTGGCGCCACCACTGAGAAGGCTCTGGCCCTGGTTGTAGCCAGCCTGACATCTTTGAGACTGGGGAGAGCAAGAAGATTTTGAGATCCTGACCGCAGTACTCTCTGGGGAACATATGGGGAAAGGTGGTTCCTCAGGTACGCAGACCCCTGGTTATACAGGGCTTTATAGGTAAGAACCAGCACCTTGGAGCAAACCCGGTATGCTATAGGTAGCCAGTGCAGTGCTTTCAGCGCAGGCTGAATGTGTTCCATCAAAGGGAGACACAACAACAGCCTTGCCGCTGCATTCTGCACCAGCTGTAGCTTCTGGATTTGGGACAAGGGCAGCCCCATGTAGAGAGCATTGCAGTAGTCTGATCTTGAGGTGACCATCACATGGATCACTGTTGACAGGTCCAAGGAAGGGAACCAACTGCCTAATCAGCCGAAGATGGTAAAAGGCTGACTTGGCAGTGGCTGCTACCTGGACCTCCATCGTTAAGGAAGCAGAACACAGCCCTTCCAGAAGACTCTACAGCTGTTTATTTGTTATTCGGGCCCCTCTAAGGGGAGGGCAGACTAGATGGATAGTCTCTGCTGTCAGGATTTGCTTTCAACAAGCCAAGCTACTCTGCCCTCTTGGCATTCCTGTTCACTCTGCACAATCACAAGCGACATCTGCAGCCTTTCATTATGGAATGCCACTCACGGACATCTGTAGGGCAGCCATGTGGTCATCCACTGACACATTCATTAAACATTATTCTGGGGTTTTTTGCCATCAAGTCAAGCTGACTTCTGGCGGCCCCTAGTGGGGCTTGAAGGCAAAGGGACTTTCAGGGGTGGCTTGCCATCGCCTGTCTCTGTGTCACAACCCTGGTATTCCTTGGAGGTCTCCCTTCCAAATGCTAGCCAGGGCTGGCCCTGCTTAGTTCCTGAGATCTGACAAGACCGGGATTGCTTGGGCTATCCAGGTCAGGGTGTTAAGCATTATTCTATTGATGTGAATGCAAGAAGAAATATGTCAACGGGCAAGGCGGTTTTGCATTCGTTGTTCCAGTGTGTTGGGATTCTTATTTAAAGTAAATCAGCAGAGTATTAAAGAGACGAACACAGCCCTTCCAGAAGACTCTACAGCTGTTTATTTGTTATTCGGGCCCCTCTAAGGGGAGGGCAGACTAGATGGATAGTCTCTGCTGTCAGGATTTGCTTTCAACAAGCCAAGCTACTCTGCCCTCTTGGCATTCCTGTTCACTCTGCACAATCACAAGCGACATCTGCAGCCTTTCATTATGGAATGCCACTCACGGACATCTGTAGGGCAGCCATGTGGTCATCCACTGACACATTCATTAAACATTATTCTGGGGTTTTTTGCCATCAAGTCAAGCTGACTTCTGGCGGCCCCTAGTGGGGCTTGAAGGCAAAGGGACTTTCAGGGGTGGCTTGCCATCGCCTGTCTCTGTGTCACAACCCTGGTATTCCTTGGAGGTCTCCCTTCCAAATGCTAGCCAGGGCTGGCCCTGCTTAGTTCCTGAGATCTGACAAGACCGGGATTGCTTGGGCTATCCAGGTCAGGGTGTTAAGCATTATTCTATTGATGTGAATGCAAGAAGAAATATGTCAACGGGCAAGGCGGTTTTGCATTCGTTGTTCCAGTGTGTTGGGATTCTTATTTAAAGTAAATCAGCAGAGTATTAAAGAGACTGAGTCCATGTTGTGTTTAAAAGTATATAAAAGTTTACTATAACCTAGCATGGGAAAAAGGTACACAGGACATAAAATAACAAAGAGCTTATATGGTCTACATCCTTACAGCTAGAAGGTAAAACTGGAAGAATGGCGTCTCCTTCTCTAGTCAGAACAAAGAAACACAAAGACGGAAGAGAAGCCATAAAATGCTAATACTTGACACTTTGTTTCCAATCAGAATAGCAAACTAGCTCCGAAGTTCCCGGGCTTCCTATAATCCAAATAGATTGGTTACAAACAAACATGTGACTTAACAAACATAATTAACCCAGTAAATACTGAAAGTGTTTTAACTTGTAACACCCAACACAGTGACAGCATCACTGGAGCAGAGGTCCATCAGTGGCTATTAGCCACAAGGTATAGATAAGGGCTCTGGGGCAAGTGATGCTCTGTCTTCTTGGTGCTTGGGGGGGTCAACAGCGGGAGGGCTCCTAGTGTCCTGGCCCCACTGGTGGACCTCCTGATGGCACCTGGTATTTTTGGCCACTGTGTGACAGAGTGTTGGACTGGATGGGCCTTTGGCCTGATTCCAACATTGGCATCTCTTATGTTCTCATCACACCCACCTCCATGGTGAGTAGCTTGCTAGTCTCCCAGTGTGGGACTGCACAGATGACTGAACATGAAAACAGTGTTGCACTTACCTGTGACTGTTGTCTTCTGTGCAGGCACACATTCCTTCCCTCCTGCCCTGCTGGAAGCTCTCCTTTTCGAGCTTCTTCTTGTGGCAGCTCGAGAGAACTGAGGGAAAGGGGAGTGCCCCCTCTGGAGCACATGGCCATTTGGGTGGGAAAACGGCCGCTAACGTGCTCCGGAGGAGAGAGGCTCCCCCACGACTCTTTCTTTCCTCAGAATGTGGTGGTAGAGACCTCTGGTGGCTGGCCCGTGCAAGCGCAGTCCCAGTGTGTGCCTTTACAGGTAAGTGCAACACTGTTTTTCTCTTTCTGCATTCAGGTGCACTCCCCCTGTCCTTGGCTGCTTGTACCAATCAGATGGAAGTGGTACAGTACCTCCTGGACAACCCTCACCAGAAGGCCAGCCTGACAGAAAGAGATTCTTTGGGCAACACGGTCCTCCACGCTTTAGTGATGGTGGCCAATGATACAGAGAAGAATACGGAGGTTGTCGTCAGGATGTATGATGGGATCCTGATGGAAGGCTGCAAGCTTGACCCACTACTGAAACTGGAGGAACTAGAGAACAGCCAAGGGTTAACTCCATTGAAATTGGCTGCCAAGACTGGCAAAGTAGAGGTACACCAGTTGGCATCTTTCCCACTGGCTGATTTTAATTGGACTTAATGTTTTTTTCTTTCTTTCAAATTTTATTGCATGGTGGTTCTTTCAGTCGGGTGGGTTTTTTTGTACTTTTGATTTTTTAAAAAACATTTTAAATTATCATTGATTGATTGCCACTTTGGGATTGTTATGGATGAATAAGCATACAGTCTTTTTCAGCTGACAAAAAATGGTATCAAGAATCTATAAGTGGATGTGTGGAAAGTTGCACTTCAATAGAAAAGCTACCCAATTCACATGGAATTCAATGACATTTTTCACCTATTTCTTTGCACAAATATTGGAGAAAATTTCTCTCACTTCGTCTGAGAGAAATTTTCTCCAATATTTGTGCAAAGAAATAGGTGAAAAATGTCATTGAACTCCATGTGAATTGGGTAGCTTTTCTATTGAAGTGCAACTTTCCACACACACATCCACTTATAGATTCTTGGTCAGAAGAAGACGTTGTCGAAACGGCATCACATTCTGGAGACCACCGTCCCGCCGTCTTTGGTATCTTCTATAACTGGATTTACAATTTGAGTGTATTAGTATCATTTTTGTAATTTTCATACTAATAATATTATTGTTATTGTTAAAGAAACATTCAGCGCACTTTACACAGTTCCTGTGGCGCTATCTTTTCATGTCTATGGACTGTGACCATATTTGTCTTTGTTAAAAAATGGTATCATACATTAGACATTAAAGAAAACTGGGGGAGGGAGCTGGGGCAAACACTGATTGGCCTATAGCCACTCAGAGGCAGGATACAAGTGGGACACTTCCTCGTTTGTAGCTGAGTCTCAAGCTACACGATGGTCAATCACCATGTTGGACGATGAGGCCCAAAGAGATCATTTCTGTCTTTCATAGATTTTCAAGCACATTCTTCAGCGAGAGATCAAAGATCCCGAGTTCAAACACCTGTCACGCAAGTTCACCGAATGGACCTATGGACCGGTTCACATTTCTCTGTATGACTTGTCCTCCATCGACAGCTATGAAAAAAATTCTGTACTAGAAATTTTGGCCTACAGCAGTGACACTCCAGTAAGTTGGAAAAAGAGATGTAGCAGTGTACCTTTCCCCCCATTTCTTTCTGTTTTATATTGCCTTTTAATTTTGTTCATTTTTATTGCTGGTGCTATCACTTCATTTTTCTCTTTCATGGTGTTTTTAATACCCTTTGTACATGATTGATACAAATATAGGGGAATACTTAATTGAGGGGAAATACTCACTGTTTCATTTCACAGAACCAGCAAGCAAAATCGAGTCAGGGAGTTTGGAGTCCAAATGCTGGGACTGAAAAATTTGATAGCAACAGTATATTAAAAACGGAAAAATTAGGTCTGATTGAAAATGGTCCCTGCATAAGAGACGTGATTAGCAATGTGCAATTGGATGGTAACTAGTCAAAACCGGAACTGAATACACATTGTTCTTTAATATAATTATTATAGGTAATCCAAATTGGAATATTGACAACAGCTGTAATATTAGGAAGCATTTGGATCTGGTTGTTGTTCTAATGTTTGGTTGTCTAGGGTTCAGGAAGGTCTTGCAGCAAGAGGACAGGGAGAGTGAGGTGATGGCTCAAGCAGGGGTCGTTTCGTAGAAAAAGAGCTAGGGGAACTCATTAGCATAACTCATTAGCTTATGCTACACCCCCTGACATCACCAGAAGTGTGTCATGAGGCCACACACCCCGCTCCCAACGGTCCCGGCTGCCGCCGCTGCCGGCCTTGCAGCTTCACTGCTGAGCCCCATGAGGGGCCCGGCGGTGGACCTGCAAGGCCGGTGGGAGTGCAAGGAAGCCCCGCGAAGGCCCTCCCTGGCCCCAGGCAGGCAGGGGTGGGGAGAGGCAGGGAGGAAGCAACTTACCCTCCCGGGGGAACTGTGATCCCCCGCGATCCCCCCCCGAAATGACCTCTGGGCTCAAGAGATATTTAACTTATAGGGGTATTTACAAGCTTATTTGAGTTACACGCAGATCTTGCCACCAGAGAGGATTGTGCTGATAAATCTGTGTTGTTGAATCCATCACTGGTTTAGGAGGGAGGGATTAGATTCCATGTAAAAAATGCAGTTGCTCCTTTTTGCTTGCTGTTGTCCTAGACGCAGAGACAAATGTTTTGCTTGTGCATGCTGGAGTAGAGGCAGGCAGCCCCTCTGACTGTGGGGATGGACACAAATGTTTTGCTTGTACATGCTGGAGCGGAGGCAGGCAGACCCACTGACTGTGGTGGTAGAGGCAAATGTTCTACTTGTACATGCTGGAGTAGAGGCAGGCAGACCCACCGACTGGTGGTGGTGGAGGCAAATGCCACATCCTTTCTGTGCCATCACCCCACAGCTAGAGGCAGCATATGCCAGTAGCCAGATAGAGGCAGAAATGTGCTGCCAGACACTGGCACAGGAGGCAGGCAGTACAGCAAGTGAAGGGAATGGAAGCCAATGGCTCACCTCTCCCCTCCCCCACAGCAACACGCAGGCTCTACCATGCCATATTCATGTGTTTGAATGTGATCAGTAACATTGACACAGAGAGAGAGATGCAAGAGATCGGCAGTGATGATGGGTCGGAAAACTCTCTGTCTTAAATCTCCTTTAAAAGAGGCTACTCTACTTCCGTGAGAGAAATATCTTCCCTGTTACTATTAGCCCTGAAGGGTGTCTGTGTGTGTGTGTGTGGGGTGGTAGGCAAGAAAGTAGGGTTGAGATTGACTTTTTAAAACCAAAGATGGAATGTGAGTGAGAGGAGCTAAAATTGTTCTGCGGAAGCCCTCTGATGAGGAATTCTGAATACATGAATAGCTAGATCCGAGTTCCGTAGCACCTCAGAGACCAATAAGATTTTCAGGGTATGAGGTTTTGAGATTCAAAGCACTCTTTGTCAGATACACACAGCTACCCTCTGAAAATATCTGGATGCAGGAATGTAGCTCTAATTTCCAGGATTCATTAGAGAAAGCCTTAACAGCGCTTCAGATTTATATCGTTGTGTATATGAGCTCTAAGGAGAGAAGCTTCATGGGGTATGATTTTGACCAAGGTGTCGTTTTCCTTTTCCCATGAACACAGAATCGGTACAAAATGGTGGTTTTGGAACCGTTGAACAAACTGCTCCAGTGCAAATGGGACTCCTTCGCCGCCAGGAGATTTCACCTCAGCTTGTTGACCTATGCGATATTCATGGTGATCTTCACAGCCGTTGCTTATTACCAGCCTGTGGACAGGAAGGTGTAGCTTTTTTTATTTTTTTATTTCTTGTTTATATTCTTTACTCTCTACAGGCAACCCAAAGTGGCTTGTCACATCATTCTCCTCAGCTCCACCTTCTCCTCACAACACTCTGCACCCCAAAGTCGGTTAGGCTGAACAAGAGGCTGTGACGGGCCCAAGGTCACCAGCGAGCTTCCATGGCAGAGTGATAGGGTCGGCAGCTCTGGGTTGGGAAATACGTGGAAAGGAGGGCGAGGTTTGGGGAGGGGAGGTACTTTAGTGGAGTAGAATGCCATGGAGCCCGCCTTCCAAAGTGGCCGTTTTCCTCAGGTGAACTCATCTCCGTCGCCTGGAGATCAGTTGTAATCCCAGGATATTGCCACCTAGAGGTTGGCAACCCTTTGAGGATTCTAACTCAGTTGTCCCAGGTCCTAGACCAATACCTTGCCTACTGCACCACACCAGTTTAGGGGCATATATGTGTGTATGAGTGTGGCCAGGGCTATTTTTGGGCAGGAACACACAGGAATGGAGTTCCGGCTGGCTCCCGAGTTGGCCACACCCGGCAGGAACTCATTAGCATAACAGGCCACACCCAACAGCAGAAACTCATTAGGATTGGCTATATTAGGGATGTGTGGCCTAACATGCAAAGGAGTTCCTGCTCCAAATAAAGGCCCTGGGTTTTGACAACAAACAAGGTGAACAGAATAAGAAGCAAAAGGTGGGTGTGGCTAGATGACCACACTTCTGGTAACATGGGGGTGCGGCCTAATATGCTCATGAGCTGTGCTGTCAGGTGTGTGGCCTAATATACGAATGAGTTTCTGCTGTTGGGTGTGGCCTATTATACTAATGAGTTCCGGCTGGGCTTTTTCTACAAAAAAAGCACTGAGTGTGGCAATTCGTTCTGTGAACAATTAGGGATGTTCGTGATGCTACTGTTTCACATTGAAAATTCCATTTTTTCATATGGGTTCTCCCCGCTCAGGCCAAAATGGCAGTCATTCCGCCCCCCTCCATACAATGTTCAAAAGAATCATTTGAAGAAGAAGAAGAGGTTGGATTTATACCCTGCCCTTCACTACTCGAAAGAGTCTCAGAGCAGTTTACAATCCCTTTCGCTTCCCCTCCCCCAAACAGACACCCTGGGAGGGAGGTGGGGCTGAGAGAGCTCTTTCGAGGACTGTTCATGAGAGAACAGTTCTGAGAGAACACATGACTGACCCAAGGTCACACCGGCAGCTGCATGTGGAGGAGTGCGGAATCAAACTCAGTTCTGCCAGATTAGAGTCCGCTGTCCTAACCACTCCACCAAACTGGCTCTCCGTTGAAATGACGCTTGTGTCAGTGTGTGTAAGTGGCATTTAATGTATAAAGCCAAGCCAAAAAGTGAATGCCTCCGGAACACGTCTGAAGCCTACAGCTGAACAAAAATCCCCGTCGGCTGCAAATTGTGTGCAATTTAAAGAATTATATGTTGTCCTTCCTTACCCCTATGAAATTGTTAGTCCCTTGTATGAAACCGTGTAACTGTAAATCGCTCAGAGCCAGCAGCTCTGCCGGATTGAGCGATCTATAAATCGAAAGGTATTATTATTATTATTATAAATTACGGTAAATAAAACTGTAGAAATATCATGAAGAAACAAAGGGATCAGGAATACCACCAATAGCGTGGGGCAAATGAGAAGACTCAAAATGACAACCCTAATGCCCCCCCCCAAAAAAAAACATGAAAAAGGATAGATTTATATATTTGTAATATTAAAGTCCCCATGAGCATTAGTCCGTCATAGCACAGCAGTTTCTGCTCTGTCTGATAGTGGCTCTCCAGAGTCTCAGCTTCCCTGACTGGTTGTTTTTAACCAAGGATGCTGGGGCCTTTTGCCCCAGGTCCTGGGGCACACAGGTCCTGGGGAGGTAGATTGTTCTAAGCAAGGCACGACAGGGACAGCAGAATACATCTGTAAACTCCTCTGTATTCCTCCATATCAAAATATTCCAGCTAGTTGTAGATTTTGTCCCAGTTCGCATGTATTGTTTCCCTAAAAATCTGATAATTCAGCACACTTGTAAGCTGTTTTGGTTGTTAAAATACCTGTTTTCTGAGCAGAGGATTATTAAAACTCTACTGGCTGGGGTTGACCAAAGAACCAGTGTACCAAGCAGCTGAGTTTTGTCTTCTGACCTGGATAGCCCGGGCTAGCCCCATCTTGTCAGATCTCAGAAGCTAACCAGGGACGGCCCAGACTTGTATTTGGATGGAAGACCTCCCAGGAATACCAGGGTCATGACACAGAGGCAGGCAGTGGCAAACCACCTCTGAACGTCTCTTGCCTTGAAAACCCTACAGGGTTGCCATAAATTAGCTTTGACTTGAAGGCTCACACAAAAAAGAAAGAAAAGAAAAGAAAACTCAGGCCGAGATAATGTCCTGTGTATAATTTTCATTGTCTGACGTACTGGGCTGAATGATAGACATACAGATATGATTTTAGGTAATTAATTAACATTGTTTGATCTGTTTCTTAATGGCTTGTAATCAGGTTTGACTGACGCATTCCATTTAGGTAAAACAGAGTCATACATTCAGTTAACAATGGTAATACGTGGAGCCCAGGCCAGGCTGCCAAGATAGTTTGTGCTACCATATTTTGTTTTCGGTTCACAAAAGGCCTCAGCATCCTTCCTGGGAAGGGAGGACAAGCCAGGTTCCTGACACAGGCTCCGTTTGCTTTTGTTAACAAATGCTACCAGGCGGCTGCAAATGTAGAGCATCTATGTGCATGTATTGCAGCGATGTGCTGCCCTTTAATGATACCCCAACGTCTGGTGCCCCGTCGTGTCCAATGGTCAGGCCACCATCCTGAAGAACCTTCTACTCCTGGGGATGCAGGCAAAGAGAAGAAGGCAGAGAGACTGGGTGTTTCTCACCTATGTCGGTTTTCTCCCTCCTTCCACAGGCAGAGCTTCTAGAGAAGTATGCTGCAGCAGATACACTGAGGGTGATTGGCCAGGCCGTTGTCTTAGTGGGTACCATCTATCTCCTCATTGCTCAGGTAAGGATGCCCTCCTCTCCCTCCCGCGGACACAATTGGCTCTTTTGCCACACTGTGCATTGGCCCTTCACATTCTTTTCTGTTGGGATATTTGGTTCATGCAGCAGAGTTTGCCTAGTCACAGGATATCCCCAGAAGCATATTGCAAAAGTAAAACTTAACATTTATTCCAGTAGATTCAGGTTCAAGTCGCCAAACTTACACTCTAAACTACACTCAAGTTCATCCCTGTAATCATCTCGGGGTATTTTTTGTTTCCACATTACACTGAGGTCACCCCGGTTTTGCCCCACACTTGTCCTGGGATAAATTGATGGTGTTATAACGAGGGATAAATGCAAGGCATTGGGTTGCGAGCTGAACTCTGATAAAACCAGGGATGAGATCCAAGTGCGGAAAGGACCAGGGGGGAGGGGGGGAGGACGGGTCAGAGGGCATATCCCAGGTTAACACAGTGGCTGTGTTCAGACTGGCTGTTTGGCCCAATATAGGCACTGTTCCCAAACAGATTAAATGGGTGCAGTCACACAGCCACATCTGTCAGGCGTTTCCCCGGCATGCTCATCCCATCATAGGACAACTTGAGGCCCGGTTAAAGAGACACCACATCACAAGTGGTGTTTTTGGTTTCCCGCACATTCATCGTACCTGGCCAAATGTCTGAACGTGGGGGAGTGTGCGCAGAACGGATTTGGCAGTCTGAACCTGCAGATCTGTTCCCACTGCTAGGGAGGTTTGAAATAATTTTTTTGCCTATATGTGCATTTGCTCATGAGCACATATGCACATACGTGCACATCTGTGCATGCATGAGCACACGTGCATGTGCATACATTTTGAAAAAGTTCTGGGCAGCGTGCTCCATGGCTGAGGCGCTGCAGTAATGTGGATGCTTGGCCACGGGATGTCTGCATGGGTAACCCACAGCAGGGTGTGCTGTCTGGATGATATGCCCCACAACACTTTAAACCGGTACAATTAGAGGCGGCACCGTATCGCGCCAAGCTGCCAGTCTGACCACAGCCAAAGAGAGGCATCCCATTCAAGGAGATAGCAATTACACATGCTTAGAGTGATGCCCAGGCATGCTGAGTGGCTCACTTCAGCACTTCCATTCTAACCTGCTGCCCCTGTTCATTTGTTTAGGCTCTTTTCTTGTGGAGGAGGCGCCTCTCCTTGAGAAGTCTGCTCTCAGATGACTGTATTCAGGTTTTGTTGTACGTTGGGACTTGGGATGGGGGTAGGGGGGTAGGGGGGCAGGGAACAGGCAGTCCCGGGGGTTCTCTATGATCATTTCAGTCAAAGAAACCACCATCCCACGTTAGGGGTAGAAATAAGGGAAGCAGAAGGGTTTTTGCAGTGTCCACGGAATCATTGGGGGTGGGGGGCAGGTGTTGGCGGGGCACTGGTGACTTGTTCTGCAAGCTCGTCAGTGACTGTCCTGTGTCGTCGTCTCAGAGCCCAGCAAAATGCAAAAAGAAACAAGTCTCGATTTATCAACTGTAATAGTTTTAGCATAAATGAACAGGATGGCAATATTGTTTTCATCGCACCCTATTGTTTTAATTTGGGGTGAGGTGGAACTGAAGGATGGACCATAGAGCTCCCTGGCAAGACGGGCATGCTTCCTGTAGGGCTGTGGAAGAATGCCTTTCTAGCTTCCTTGGGAAACTCCGGTATGCCCTGGACAGTGCGTGATGCTTTCTTTCGCCTGGCCATTTGCAGGTTGGTGCAATCGCTCATGCTGTTGATTTCAGTGCCAATGTACTTCATGGGGATGGAGGAATATGTGCCTTTGATGGTTTTCTCCCTGCTGCTGGGCTGGATGAACATGTTGTATTACACCCGAGGATTCCGGCTGACGGGGATCTACAGTGTCATGATACAGAAGGTGGGTGTGGAAGAACTGCCCCCCCCCCCAATCCCGGTGCTTCCTGCTTTCCATGCAGGGGAAAACTTTCTGGGTGAAGTTGTCAGTACGATGCAAGCTACAGGCTCCTGTGCAGCCTACGGTTGCCAGCTTCCCCCTGGCCACTGGCGGGAGAGAAGGGGTTAGAGTTGCCAGATGCAGGTTGGGAAACTCCTGGAGATTTGAGGGCGGAGCCTGGGGAGGGCAGGGACCTCAGTGGGGCATGGTGACATAGGTCATGGTCAGGCGGTCATTTTGATCGGGTTTCACCGCTGTTCCCTCTCGCATTTAAAATTGCTGATCAGACCGCCGCATCTGTCTCCCACCCCGAAGTGGACTCACTCGTGTGATCCTCCCGGTTCCCTAGCGAGTTTTCCAACACCGGGAAAATCAAGTACTTTCCAGATATTTGCGCTTTGAATCCACGATTTCGCCGTTCTGGGCAGCCATCTCTCGCAATGATTGCGATTAGGTCATCTGAACATCCTTCTTGCGATTTCCCCCCTCCCAAGCGTCCACCGTTGAGAGCCAGTTTGGTGTAGTGGTTAAGTGTGCGGACTCTAATCTGGGAGAACCGGGTTTGATTCCCCACTCCTCCACTTGCACCTGCTGGTGTGACCTTGGGTCAGTCACAAGCTCTGGCACAGCTGTTCCTGAAAGAGCAGTTTCTGTCGGAGCGCTCTCAGCCCCACCTACCTCACAGGGTGTCTGTTGTGGGGAGGGGAAGAGAAAGGAGTTTGTAAGCCGCTCTGAGACTCCAAGTGAAGGGCGGGTATAAATCCAATCTCTTCTTCTTCTTCTTCATGAGCAATCCTGCACTGAATAAATTCAACGTATAAAGACTCAAGCGCACATATAGACTCCAGCGCTCAGTTGTACGTTGCCAGTTAATTTTGTTTGCTTTTGGGGGGGGGGCCTGCAAGAACAAGGGAGTACGACGAGTCCCTGTGGGAGCGGTGATTCGGCCATGTGCATATGCGCATGCGCAAGGCCAATTTTTTTAAAAAAAACAAGCTGTGCCGCCCAAGCAGCAGCGTGGCTATCTGAACGGTGCCCGTAGCCTCGTTGTGCGACGGTTCAGGGAGGGATGTGTGGTCATCCCAACCCCCCCCCAAATCTACAGCGGGAACAAATCACGGTAAGCTTGCCGTGTGACCCCACCCATAGAGCCCACCCTCCAAACCCCCCTTTTCTCCAGGGGAACTGATCTTGGTAGCCTGGAGATGAGGTATAATTCCAGGGGATCCCCAGTTCCCACCTGGAGGCTGGCATCCCTAGCGCAGCCTCAGTTCTCATTGGAGTCATGTGGAGAACAGAGCGGGAGTTTAACCCTTCGGCCTCCCCTCAGTTTCCCTCATCAAATTCAGCTTCCCTAGTCTGCGATTGGGATTTTAAAGGGGGGGGGGATATGTCCTTAAAAACACCTCTTTTCCGCTTTAAAATACTAATAACAAAGTGTGGGGAGTCCAATGTCAGTTAGCACACCCAAGTGGAGGTTGGGCTGTGAAATCCCTGACTACCCTCCCACGCAAACAGATTTCTCATTCTTATGTAATAATATAAGAAGAGCCCCTCCTGGGTCAGACCAGTGGTCCCACCAGTCCAGCGTCCTGTCTCGCACAGCGGCCAAACCAGTAGTGACGGGAGGATCGTATAGATGAGAACATCAGGTGGCTGCATCTTGCTTTCCTCACAGGAAGGCCTGTCAATAGGGATGAGTATTTCTGAGGAAGCATCTGTCAAGAAGCCCCTTTGTGGGAGAGCCTGCTCCTTTTCTGTGTCCCTTCTCCAGAGAGGGTGGCTGAGGAAGAGGAATTCAACAAGGGCAGCTCCTTCCACAAGCCTTTTACTGCATCTCCATGCCACTTGGGACTTGAAAGCCAGTTTGGTATAGTGGTTAGGTGGTTAGGACTCTAATCCGGGAGAACCGGGTTTGATTCCCCGCTCCTCCACTTGCACCTGCTGGATGACCTTGGGCAAGCCATAATTCTGGCACAGCTGTCCTTGAAAAAGAGCCGTTTCTGTCGGAGCTCTCTCAGCCCCACCTCCCTCACAGGGTGTCTGTTGTCGGGAGGGGAAGGGAAAGGAGTTTGCAAGCCGCTCTGAGACACCTTTGGGTAGTGAAAGGCAGGGTATAAATCCAATCTCCCCTTCCTCCTCTCCTCCACTTGTTGAACGTCCACTTGGCCATGTTAATTGTTGAAATACAGGGAGAACTTCTGCTCTGGAGGAAACCCTCCCTGCTTCTAGTAATCATTTCCCCAAAATCAAGTCATGGGACTGTGCAGGTCAAAAAAGTCATACAATGGGGCCATCCACCGTTCACATGTAGTCTTCTTCAAACCTAGGGGAGACCTCACATTTCCAAAAAATATGAAGACTAAAAAAAACCCTCCCAAAATAAAGGATGATGTCTGTACGTACACATATATCACGTTTTTAAAAAGAGTTTGGGCAGCATTTGGAGTTGCTATAGCAACCGGAAATGGTACCTGATATTATCACAGTGGTGCTGGACTACAGCGTTGGGGGTGGGAGGGAGGGGCGGACAGGGGTCATTTCCTGCAGGAGCGCACAGGAGTGGCGCTCCAGCAGTAAAGAGCCCAGGGGGCGGGCACATGCAATAAGCCCCGCCCCCTGCTCCCAGCAGCCCTCGGTCAGAGCAAGAAGCACCCAGGTAAGTTGCAGATCCCCCCGGTCCAAAACCATTCAGTGGCACCTTTAAGACGAAGTTTTATTCAGGTACAAGCTTTCCCTCCTCTGTGAGGGCAGATGTGCACGTTCCCTCTCCCCCAATAGCTGGCAATCCAAAACAGTCCAGTGGAGCCTGAGCGGTGGGTGTTGCCTTCTGACACACTTCCGGTGATGTCAGGGGGTGTGGCATATGCAAATAAGTTATGCTAATGAGTCATGCTAATGAGCTCCTGCACCTCTTTTTCTACGAAATGACCCCTGGGGGTGGACATAATAGAATGGAGGGAGGAGGTGGGGACGAGGGGAAGTGAACGAGGCCACAGGGCGAGCGGCAGTAAGGGGACGGGAAGGAAAGGAAGAGACATGCATGTGGAGGGGTAGGAGGAGATGGAGAGACCAGGGAGAGGACAGGCAAATAGAGCCGGCAGCAATGGGGAGGCGGGAGAGAAATTAGGTTTGTTTCTGATATAGACACTGCAAGGTGGCTTGTGTTTATAGCCAACCTTGCACTGATCCACAGCCAGTTTTCTCTGATTGTGCATAATTTGCCTCCTGCCCTTCGTTCCAGACAATCCTGAGGGATCTTCTGCGCTTCCTCTTGGTCTACCTGATCTTCCTTTTTGGCTTTGCAGTAGGTGAGTGCTTTTATTAGTCCAGGGTGGGGGAGGACCATGGTAGAGCATCTGTTCTGCATGCAGGTAAACGGTGCTAAGGCCAGTCCTCAGAATCTCCAGCTAAAAGGATGCATCAGGTAGGAGGTGATGTGAAACACCTTGACCCAGGAGAGCCAGTGGTTGGAGAAGACAATGCTGACCTTGAGAGATTGATGGTCTGATTCTGCTTAAGGCAGTAACAACGAAGATCCGCTACACAGAAAGGGTGCCTGGTAGGCTTGTCACGTCCCCTACATGTATGTGGCCCTAGGTTTAGGATTGTATGAATTGGAACATGTAAGCCGCTCAGAGCCCTTAGGGGGTGAGCGGGATACAAATTGAAATATATATATATAAATAAATAAATAAATGAGTTTCATTTGTTCAAGAGATGATGAACAGGAAGTATGGTAGGGTTGCCAGCCTCCAGTGGGGACCAGGAGATCTCCTTCTTTTCATAGAATCATAGAATGTTAGAGTTGGAAGGGACCTTGCAGGTCATCTAGTCCAACCCCCTGCACTCTGCAGGAGCATAGCTGAAAGAGAGCCCTGCAACATACCCGAAAGATGGCCATCCAGCCTCCGCTTGAAAACGTCCAGCGAAGGAGCATCCGCCACCTCCCGAGGCAGTCTGTTCCACTGCTCAGCCACTCTTACAGTTAGGTAGTTTCTCCTGATATTTAGCCGGTATCGACTCCCTTGTAATTTCCACCCATTACATCTAGTCTTGCAATCTGGAGCAAGAGAGAATCGATCCACTCCATCTTCTACATGACAGCCCCTCAAATACTTGAAGACTGCAATCATGTCCCCTCTAAGCCTTCTCCTTCCCAGGCTAAACATACCCAACTCTTTCAGCCTTTCCTCGTATGACTTTGATTCCAACCCTCTCACCGTCCTGGTTGCCCTCTTCTGGACACGCTCTAGCTTGTCAACATCCTTCCTGAAATGTGGAGGAGCTTTCGTGAGTCACAGTTCAATTCTTCAATATCTGTGAGCCGTGACTCACGAAAGCTCCCCCCCGCCACAAATTTTGTTAGTCTTTAAGGTGCTGCTGGACTCTGGCTCTTTTCTACTGCTACAGACAGACTAACACGGCTCCCCATCTTGATCTTTTCCTTTAAAACATGAATGATGCAGGTACCCTGTTTGCTATAATTTGAAACAGGATTTGATGGACTCTTCTGCAAGCAGTCAGGGTTCTTGTAGTCTTCTGTAGTGTGGAGCACACCATATCCGGGGGCATATCTGGAGAAAAAACGGGTAGTTCGGACAGGCTCTTAAAATGAGAAAGTTTACAAAAAGGCTCTCTGAGGGGAGCCTTTGACCTCTCAGTTTCTCGTTCCAGCCCTCTTCACCCTAACGAACGAGGGAGTCCTGCCGGCCCAGAACAGTTCTGTCCCCGTCACGGAGGATGGTAAACCCAAAGGCACGTACACCGGGCTGTTCATGGCTTCTCTGGAACTCTTCAAGTTCACGATCGGGATGGGGGACCTGGAGTTCCATGAGCACATGAAATTCAAGTACTTTGTGATCTTCCTGCTCCTCCTCTTTGTGATCCTGACGTACATCCTCCTTTTGAACATGCTGATTGCCCTGATGAGCGAGACGGTCAACAAGATCTCCGGATACAGCCAAAGTGTCTGGAAGCTCCAGGCAAGTCCAGCAGTGCTAGTGTTGCCAACTTCTGGGTGGTGGCTGGAGAGCTCCCGCTATTGCAACTAATCTCCAGGCAACAGAGATCAGTTCACCTGGAGGAAATGGCTGATTTAGAAGGTGGACTCTGTGGCATTATACCCTGTTGAAGTCCCGCCCCTCCTCAAACTCCGCCCTCTTCAGGCCCCACCCCCTAAATCTCCAGGTATTTCCCAACTTGGGTTGGGGTGCCAAGTCCCCCCAGGAGGGCGGGGTTTTTCTCACCAAAAGGGCCCCCAACCCACCAATCCAGATCAGGTTGGCGGGGGCAACCCCGCCCCCAAAGTGCCCGATTCAGGCCAATGTGCCTGGCACGATGAAGTCACATGGAGATGACGTCATTGCGTTGAGCACATTGCCGGCCGACGCTCTAGCAAATGAGTGTTTCCATGTCCTGTGTTCTCAGAGAGCTGTAACTATCCTGGAGATAGAGAAAAACTGGCTTTGTTATTGGAAGAAGCCGCAGAGATCTGGCTGTTTGTTGCCCGTTGGCTCAGGAGAAAAAGACAAAAGATGGGTTTTCCGGTAAGTCTGTTGCTGGATGCGGCTTTGCCCCAGTTTTGCATGAAGCCGGCACGTATATCAGCCCACTGCTTCTATGTTCCCCTGGCTGCCTTGGGTGGGTGGGGGGGTAACTGTGGAATATTTACTTTTATTTCTCTTGTTGTGGTTATCTCTCCCTGTAAGCTGAGCCATATAACCTTGAGTGCCTGATGTCTTCTTTCTCTTGGGAACGCTGGAGCGTTAGCTTGGCTGGTTCCTACCTGTCGTCTGATTGGCCCTGAGCCATTTTGGTCCCCCTTGAATTCTGTATATCTATTAGCTTCACACACTTTATCCTCAGTTCTGACACGAAACAGTTAAGATACCTGAATGCCATAAAGATCTCAAATAACTTTAATTCCTCTGAATGACTGCTGTTGAGAACTGATTGATTAATCATAAGCAAAAGATTTATACAAAAATATAAGGCGGAACTTAAAAGATACATGATTACATAATGTATGAGGCACCTGAATAGACAATTTAATGCTGTACGGAAACCCCCCTATGTATGTATGTATGTATGTATGTATGTATGTATGTATGTATGTTTGTGTTGTGTTGTGTTGTGTTTGTCTTTATAAAATAAAACTAGGGGAAAAGAACTGATTGACTCAGGAGTCTGACAGCGCTCTTCAGACAGCACGTTGCAATACTTCTGTGTGTGTTTGTGTGTCCTAGAGTGGAAGAGATCGATTGGGCCAACTGGGAGAAAGAGGTGGGAGTCCTCAGTGAGGATCCCGGGAGCTCTGGGGACTCTGGAATAGAGGTCCAAGGTAAGAACACGAGGCCGCCCACTCCGCCTCAAACCCATCTGTCCTCAGCCAGTGTTGCTTGCTCAGAAAGAGGGCGGCATCAAATATTCTGTCCCTTTCAGTGGTTATGCTCCCCCCCAATTGTTTTTTGAGAGAGTGCCCCCCCAGTTTAAGTAGCCTTAAAGTGTTTGAGTTACCAACCTCCAGGTGGCACCTGGAGATCTCCTGCTATCACAGTTTATCTTCAGATGACCAACATCAGTTTCCCCTGGGGAAAATGGCTGCTTTGGAGGAGGGATTCTATGGCATTATATCCTGCTGAGGGCCCTGCCTTCCCCAAGCCCCACCCCCAAAAATCTCCAGTTATTTCCCAACCCAAAGCTGGCAAGCCTACTGACAGTTGTAGTTCCGGGAGATCTCTAGGCCCCACCTGGAGGTTGGCAACCTGCTCCTTACAGGTCCTGCAGAGTTGCTGCTGAGGGCCGGTGCGCTCATGGTCACAATGTCCAAAGGGGAGAACGTGTTGCTCCTAGTGGGTTACAGACAATGAAAGGCACTTTGTTCCTAGGAGGTGGCAGGAGGTACAGGCAGGATGCCCCCTGCTGGGAAAAAGGAGCTCCCACCATTCGTCCTCAGGAATGGTCTTAGTCAGGGGTCATTTTGTAGAAAAAGAGGTGCAGGAGCTCATTAGCATAACTCATTTGCATATGCCACACCCCCTGACATCACCGGAAGTGTGTCAGAAGGCAACACCCACCGCTCAGGCTCCACTGGACTGTTTTGGATTGCTAGCTATTGGGGGGGGGGAATGTGCAGATCTGTGCTCGCAGAGGAGGGAGAGCTTGTACCTGAAGGCGGGGGGTGGTGGCTTCTTGCTCCTCATGGCCTGACTGAGGGCTGCTGGGAGCAGGGGGCGGAGCTTGTTGCATGTGCCCACCCCCTGGGCTCCTCACTGCCGGAACTCCGCTCCTGTGCGCTCCCCCAAGAAATGACCCCTGGTCTTAGTGCCTTTCCTCTTCCCCCCCCGAGGAGCCGTGGCATTGATCTCCAGATGACTGAGATCAGTTCGCCTGGAGAAAATAGATGCTCTGGGGGATGGATTCTGTGGCGTTGTATCTTGCTGAGGTCCCTTTAGGCTTGCCAACCTGCGGAGATCAGTTCCCCAGGAGGAAATGGCTGCTTTGCAGGGTGAACTCTGTGGCACTGTACTCTGCTGAGGCCCCTCCCCTCCCCAAACCCCGCCCTTCCCCAGGCTCCATCTCAAAATCTCCAGGTATTTCCCAACTCAGAGTTGGCAACCCTAGGTCTCTCCCCTCCCCAAACCATGCCCTAAGTTGTTGTTGTTATTATTATTAATTTTGATCAGGGCTATTTTTGGGCAGGAACGCACAGGAACGGAGTTCCGGCTGGCTCCCGAGTTGGCCACACCCAGCAGGAACTCATTAGCATAATAGGCCACACCCAACAGTAGGAACTCATTAGGATTGGCTACATTAGGGGTGTATGGCCTAACATGCAAAGGAGTTCCTGCTACAAAAAAAGCCCTGGGTTTTGACAACAAACAGGGTAAACAGAATAAGAAGCAAAAGGTGGGTGTGGCTGGATGACCACACTTCTGGTAACATGGGGGTGTGGCCTAATATGCTAATGTGCTGTGTGATCAGGGGCATGGCCTAATATGCTAATGAGTTCCTGCTGTTGGGTGTGGTCTACTATGCTAATGAGTTCCTGTGGGCTTTTTCTACAAAAAGAGCCCTGAAAATTTTTGATTTATATCCCGCCTTGCCTGCACAGGCAGGCTCAAGGCAGCATACAACAGTTAAAATACAATAAAACACAGGTGCAAAAGACCAATATAATAAATTACTATAAAATTTCGCAGCAACAGTATATATAAAAGTGCAGTTCAATGCAGGTGGCTATTGCTGTAAGATGATCCAGTGTCGCTAAGCCGGTATCCGAGTTGCTCTTAATGCCATTAACATGAGGGCCGTGACAGTTCAGTTTTTAATAGCTCAGTCGTCAGTGGCGGCTCCTAATCGAAGGCCTGGTGGAAGAGCTCCATTTTACAGGCCCTGCGGAAGTGTAAGCGGTCCCGTGGAGCCCTGATGTCTTCCAGGAGCTCGTTCCACCAGTGTGGAGCCGCCACTGAGAAGGCCCTGGCTCTGGTGACGGCCAATCTGGCGTCTTTCGGACCAGGGAGAGTCAGGCGATTTTGCGACCCTGACCTCAGTGCTCTCTGGGGGACATATGGGGACATATGGGGAAAGGCGGCCCCTCAGGTAGGCAGGCCCCCGGCCATATAGGGCTTTAAAGGTCAAAACCAGCACCCTGAAGCAAATCCAGTATGCTACTGGCAGCCAGTGCAATACCTTCAGCACAGGCTGGATGTGCTCTCGTATAGCGAGCCCCATCAGCAGCCTGGCTGCCGCATTTTGCACTAGCTGCAGCTTCCGGATTTGGGCCAAGGGCAGCCCCATGTAGAGAGTGTTGCAGTAGTCCAATCTCGAGGTGACCATAGCATGGATCACCGTTGCCAGGTCATTGCGTTCGAGGAAGGGAACCAACTGTCTGATCAGCCGTAGATGGTAAAAAGCTGCCTTAGCAGTGGTTGCTGCCTGGGCCTCCATTGTTAAGGCAGCATCCAGGAGCACTCCCAAACTCCTGACCCTCGGCGATGGCACCAACGGCGTCCCATCGAAGGTCGGTAATGGGATCCCTACCCCCAACCCGCTCCGACTCAGGCACAGGACCTCCGTCTTCGTCAGATTCAATTTCAGTCAGCTCAGTCTAAGCCAGCCCTCCGTGTCCTGAAGTGCCCGGTCCAGGTCATCTGGGGTAGAGTTGCAGCCGAGGTGCAAAAAAAAACAAGGTCCAGGCCACTGACATTCAGAAAGAAAAAAACCCTTTGCAGTTCTACTCTTTCCAGTCCAGGATGTATAACCCTTTACTCTTAAAAAACAGGATTGAGTAGACCGCGCAGCAAATACTGGGAAATTGACACATACAATCGGGGTAAAGGGAAGAGCGAGGGCGGTCCGAGTTTGGCCCTTTCCCACTTCGCCTGCAGTGCCATTATTTGCCACTGGGTGGCTGCCCAGTATTTATTTCCCAAAACTTTACACAAGCCTTTGGGTTGATCCCCCCCCCTTCAGAAACTGTCATTAGTCTGAATCTGCATGGGAATCTTACGCTCTTTTGTCAAGGATCCCACTCCATCTCTAAAAAAGTATGTGATGTTGGACATTACTGAAGTGATTTTTTTGTTTTTGGCCTTCTTAAATACTGTAAATATTTTACTCTGTTGTAATTTTGTTGATGTTGCTGCCTTGGCTTGTATATTTCTCACCTACGTTTTTAAATTGCCCCTTTTGCCTCTGCCGCTTATTTTCTTGCTGCTTTTAGTTTAGGTGTTACTATTTAGGTAAGTTTACATCTGTGAGGAAGAGCCACTGAAGCAGGAGAAAGTCCCTTAGGCTGGAGTAGGGTTGGCAGACACTGGGAGCTTTGGGGGCCTGGGGTGGGAGGGGTTTGGGGAGGGGGAGGGACCTCAGTGGGGGAGAATGCTGTAGAGTCCAGCCTCCAAAGCAGCCATTTCCTCCGGGGAACTGGTTTTGGAGGTCTGGAGATGAGTTGTAGTTCCGGGAGATCTCCACGCTGTAGCTGGGCACTGGCAACCCTAGGCTAGAGGAGGGCTTCACCCTTTGCCCAGTGGAGTGGGGAAACAGGGGTAAGGTCCAGCCTGGAGTGGTGTTGCTTTATCAGCAAGAACTTCTTGCAAAGGGGTGTGTCAAACTCTGGCACATGCATGACAGGAAAAGGATTTCGCTCCTGTCAGAGTCTGATTCTGGCCTAGTTCCTTTGAGGACATGTTGCGCGGAGACAGACAGGAGAGACTGCTTGGCTGCCCTACCTGCCCCCAGGCCCTGACCGATGCCTCACACCCCCCTGATCTGTCTCCCTTTCCAGAGAAGGGCCTGTGGAGCTGGGTAGCGCGGGCGAAGGCTGCCTCGTCCACCACGGCATCCACACCGGAGGAGTAGATGCTCTCCCAGCACCTGAGCTGATGAACAAGGTGAAGCTGTTCAGAAGACGCAACACGTCTGCCGAGCCTGCCTGCAAATGAGGGCCGAAATCCTTAAGCTGATTCCGGTCAGAACAATGTCAAGAAAACCCACAACTGAAGTGGCCACTGACAGTGGGCTTCTGCTGGGACCCGTGCCTTTGCGGCTTTGTGCGTCACAGGCCAGGCCTTACTTGCAACCATGTATAATTCAGTGTCCCTCTCAACAGGGAGCAACAGCCCAATATTTAGCTGGTTAATTAATCCCCGCCAGCTCCCTGACCGCTTGGCTCTCTGCCACAAGGTCCCTTCATGGCCTACACACCCTTCATATGCGCACTGTCACTTCAGTTTAACAAATCTTGGAGGAGATTTAACTCCAGCACCACTCTCTCGAACCCCTGGTTTTCATCCCTTGACGTCCTGTACATGGAGGCATGAAAAGACTGTTGGGATATTGTAACTCTGCATGCAAGAGGGTATTGGAGGGAAAGGGTTAAGAGAATCCTGTCACCGGCAGTTGGCCCCCACCTTCTTCTGGGTGAGATGCTGAGCCTTTTTGCCCCTTGCTTACCTTCTCTATTTCATCTTGGGTGATTCTGCATCTAGCATTGGCTCCACATTTTCTCAACTGGGAGGAAAAGGTGCAGCTCAAAACCACATTCAGATACCTCGGGGCAGTGCCGCACTGACCGCAAAGTCACCCCTCAATGGCCATAAAACGGCCATTAGTCCATGCAGAAGGTACCATAAAATCCGATGATCAAAGAAAGTGAAAGTGGCATGGAGTGTGGAAGCTACCATAAAATCCGATAATCAAAGGAAGTGAAAGTAGCATGCAACTGCAGATGGGGATTTCTGTTCCAAGGTGGGTCTCGTAAAACAACAGAGGGAAAGGCCATTGCAGAGCCATCCCTTATATGGGACTTCTCTTCTCTCTCTTCCCTGGGCTTGGAGCTGTAGCAAGTTAACCATTTTGAAGTTAATCTGTTCACCACAAGTTAAATGTACCTACATGAATATGTCATGTGAGATGTGCTTCTATTTTTGTAAGTAAAATTTCTTTCATTAGTTACCACTGGAATCAGACCATCTTTGTAATTTGTCTGAACAGCATTTTCCCCTTACCAGGGAAACGTGGAGGATTGATGAATACTGCATAAAACTTTTGTGCTTCTGAGGCAATTGATTTTTTTTTTTTACATCTAACCCAATATCCCCTGGGCAATGTGATTGAAATAAGTCTAAATTATGAGAAGGAAGCTTGGAGACTGTAATGTAGTATTTTATACCCAAATAATAGGGGGGCGGGGAATATTTGTGGCTATGGAGAGTGTAGCATTGTTTATCATGAAAAACTTGCAGTGCTGAACGATACTTTGAGAACTAGGAAGAATAAAGTATGTTCAGTCTCTCTTCATAGCTGCTGACTTTACATGCCTCTGCTGGCTTTCAGTGAGTATATCCTTGTCCCAATACTACACACAACAATAATGGCATCCCAATCCAAAGACAAAATCTTGGTGATTTTGATGGGGCAGCCAAAATGGAACACAAAGCAGAAGTTTCTGTAAATTAGAGTACTGACTGTCCTTTGGCTGTGACAGCAGTAATTTTATCTGGCTGGAGATTATATCCAAACCAAGGGGGAGAACTGTTTAAACATTCCTAACTACACCATCACAAAATAGCGATTTCATCTCTTTTTGTGTGTGTTTTTTTTTAATCTTGGGGTAACAGTGCCTCTGAACACATGCAGAGTACCTTTGGGCTGTGCCAGTTTGGAAAGAAGGGTGTGGCGTCCTCTTATTTGGGAGGACTGGTTTTCCCTTTAAAATTATACTTTGGGTTCATAAACAGAGTAGCTTCTGCTGCCACCAAGAATTTTAAGGAATTCCAAACCTTCTCTCTGTTTCTGCTGCTGGTAATGCGACCCAGAGTCTGGCTTTCAGAGTTCTGTGTGATCCTGAGGAAGGATTGAACTGAATTTTGGGATAAACTTAAACAAAATAGGATTTATTGAAATAAGAACAAAATAAGATGCTGGTTATCTGTAACTGGGAATAAGGGACTTGTAAATATGTCTGGCAAATGTATAACACACACACTCCTTTCTTCCCTTTTCTTTTCTTCTGACACTCAGATCCAACACTGATAGGAATCCTATAGGCAGGCACACTGGCTAAGCTCTTGGTATTTTTGACTTTCTTTCAGATCTTTAGAGTTTCACTTTTGAAGACCTATATACTGCACTCTTTAAGATTTCACACTGAACAATAATATCCCTCACTGACTGAACTCACTAACTGAATAAATCCAACTGATTTTTCTATATCTGAATAACTGACGCACCCACATAGATTCACTTCAAAAAAACTCCTCCCATACTCTCTCATCCTCCAGTCACACCACACTTGCCTCCCTCAATCATTCTACTCTGCTTTCACTGTGCGCCAACCAAACATTTAAAGGAACACACACACAGTAAAACAAGGAATCATTACAAAGGGTAACCGTTTCGGTGATCTTGGTGCCTTGCGTGTCTCTGTGTAAATGTCACTACCTATGCATAGGGGTGTCAGACATAGAACCTGGAGGCCACAACCGGCCATCCAGGGATCTTATCTGGCCCACAAGCAACTGGTGGTTGGCAGATACTAACCAGGGCTAATGAGATCGGGCTACCCTGGACCATTCAGGCCAGAGCAGTAATTACAAAATAAAATGACATATTCTCTTCATGCATTTTTAGGAACTAAACGACAAAATGCATAAAGAGAACACTTCATTCATTTTCTTCAGACATTCATTTCTTCCTCTCTGGCCCTTCTTTCATGAAGCGTCCCCCATCAAGCCTCCACGACCCCCTCCCCATAATTCTAACCCACCCGCCAGGCCCCGCTCTGCACACAAGCAGTGGCCGGCGCTGCACAGGGCTTCTAGGGTGTGGGCTCCAGAATTGTCCTTTTCCAGAAAGCTTCAGGTGATCCTCCCTTTGGCCCTCGTGTGTGTTCACGTCTGGGACGCTGCTTCAGGTCTGTGGAAGAAATGAGCTATGGAGGATCGGTTAGCAACAGGGATGCCTTCCCTTCTGGTGCCGGCAGTTGTGGTTCTGATGGCCCCTGTCCTCTTAAGGATTGTGGAGTCACCAGCATTGTTGTTGGTTTTTAAGGGTTTTTGCTTTTATGTAACGTCTCTTCAGAACTGTGAGTGGAAAGGAAGTATGGAAACAATGGCCAAGTGCGGAGGCGTGCCAGTCTGCAGAGGAAGAATCCCACAGATCCTGGTTTCAACCGGTCTCTGTTGCCACATCCCCACAACCGTGTGAACGGTCGTGTTAAGTCCGGCGCTTAACAATGAGTCGGAGAGTGATTTCAGTAAAAGACTCAAGTTTATTCAGCTCTTTCTTCACTTCTTCGACACGGTACAACATCTGATAGCCCGAACAGTTTGCCCATTGAAACTGCCCGGTATTTAAACATTCCCGGCTAACATAGCCACTCCCACTATACACATAACAACCTATCAGGTTGAGCGCATAAGGACCAATCACAAACGTTCCCGCTTGCAGCTTGCTTGAATGTGATTGGGTCGTGAGTCTTGGACTAGAATCCTCTGTCCAAGACGAAGCTTAACATTGCTTCCCTATGGGAGGTTTCCCATACATCCTAATGTACTCATGGCAGCTAAGAATACATTACAAGCTCCCCTGGAGAAAATGGCTGCTTTGGAGGGTGGGCTCTGTGGCATTGTACCCGGCTGAGGCCCCTCCCCTCCCCAAACCCTGCCTTCTCCTGGATCCACCCCCAAAGTCTCCAGGTATTTTCCAACCCAGACCTGGCAAACCTACCTACCTCTGTCTGTCTGTCTATCTCTTCTTCTCTCCTCTTTATCTTCTATCAGTTATCATACATACTTTTATTAAAAACACACACACACAAAAAGGACGCAATGCTTTAGATCCTCCTATTTTATTCTGTAGGACAATAATCCTCTTAACGGATTCTCCCCCCTTTTCTGGTAGGTTAAAGGCTGGCAGCTGAGGTAAATGGATAGTTTGAGGGCTTCCTAAATCCTGGCCTGGGTGGCCTCCTCAAAAGGGGCGCCTGGCCTGGGATAAATCCAGATGGTCGGCCATGTTGATCTGAAGCAGTAAAACAAATTGAGAGTCCAGTGGCACCTTTGAGACCAACAAAGGTGTATTCAAGGTATGAGCTTTCATGTGCACACACACTTTTTTCAAATACATTGGAATGGAAGGTGAGGTTCAACCTTATTCAGCCTCTGTCTATAAGTTTGAACCTTATCTACCATTCCAATGTGTGCATGCACATGAAAGCTCATACTCTGAATTAAACTTTGTTGGTCTTAAAGGTACCACTGGAGTCTAAATTTGTTTGCCTGGGATAAGTTTTGTTGTGGTGGTTAAGAATGGCAGACTCTAATCTGGGCAACTAGGTTTGCTTCCCCACATCTGCCCATGAAGCCTGCTGGGTGACCTTGGGCCAATCACAGTTCCCTCCAAACCTGCTTCACAAGATGCCTGTTGTGGGGAGAGAAAGGAAAAGGTGATTGCAAACTGCTTTGAGACTCCCCACTCCTCCACCTGCAGCTGCTGGATGACCCTGGACAAACCATAATTCTGTCAGAGCTGTTCTCTCAAGGACAGTTCTGGAAAGAGCTCTCTCAGCCCCACCTTCCTCACAGGGTGTCTGTTGTGGGAAGGGGGAAGGGAAAGGAGTTTGTAAGCCGCTCTGCGACTCCGAGTGAAGGGTGGGGTATAAATCCAATCTCTTCTTCTTCTTCTTCTAAATAAGCTTTACTGCAATATGGTTACTCCCAATGGAATTAGTTCCCCATTACAATTGTGAGATGTAAAAGTGTTTAACCTGGTGTGGCTCAGCCTTGCAGCCAACAAAATTCTCTGCTGTGAAGTCAATCCATCTTGCTCTAATTGCTTTAGTGGGTTTATATAAGAGAGGCAGTTCAGCCAAGAGTCCCGTGTCTTCCTGGGCAGCTTCATAATTGTGGCTAGAATAAACAAAGCATAAAAACCTGCATTCATGCATGCTCTTCTGAGATAACAAACATTTGTACATCATGTGAATGGGAGGGGGAAAAGAATTTTTTTTTAAATGCTGCAGGGTGAGAATGGTCTCCCTTGAAGAAATAAAGAGACCAGTTCCTTCTGTTCTGAATCAATCAGACACGGGGCCAAACTACACATTTAGGTTTTTAAATAGCTGGGTCTGGGTTCCCCACAGCTACATAGCAGCTACAGTGAACAGCTTTGAAAAAATAAAGAGAGCTCAGACTAGCTTGGAATGCTGTTGGGGGGAGAGTGTCTCTTGCCTCCCCCCCCAAGTCCTTTTCCCATGCGCCAAAACAGTGCTGAGGGGAGTTATTTCCCATCTTTGCTGCTTCATGCATATCTAAAATGCGCAGTAAAAGGTGCAATAAAAGGCAAGGGGGGAAGGGACATTTCCAGATCTGTTTTGGACTCCTAGTTAGAGATGTAAAATTTCCGGAAATTTTGAAGCGTTTTTTTCCAGTTTTTTTCGGGGGGAAACGGAAATTTTCGGAAAAATTGAAAAAAATGCTACATTAGCATTTCTTTTGTCTTTTCTAGATTGAAAGTCATTCTGTTACTTTAGGAACATAAAAAATGACTGTGGACATTTTTACTTGGTATGAAATGATCACAACTAGCATATTAAAAATATAGTGTATCC